AGTTATTTTTAACTTTCTCACTTTTAGCCCTAATGTGTAAGAGAAAAGTTTCTTTCTAGAACAAGACTGATAAAACATACCGACCTCTTTTGTTGTGGAGTTACGTTGTTGAATTTAATACATGAAGACAATTTGTGGTTATAAATTGTTTGCTACTGTCATAGAATCTAGATCTCAGTTCTTGCTTACCTTTCTCTCAGAACTATGATCTCCAACACATACATTAAAAGATTGCATGTAGTAAAAAAAACTTAAATTATTTTTAATTCAGCCAAGCAACCAAATCCATTTATTTATAAAATTATTCATTATCTGTGTTAAAAAGTTAAACGTGTGCAAATTATTTGCACTCCCCTGTATTGTCGACACATTTTTGAACATTAGGTAGGTACCTATGTGATGTGATTCGTCATCTCGTTGGCCTCTCAAGTCTATACAAATATTATAAAGAGGTAAAATTTGTAAATTTGAACGTTTGTATGTTTGTAAGTTTGTATGTAGGGGGTAATCTTTGGAAACGTTGGTTGGATCGCCAAAATTATTTTACTGAGAGATAGCTACAATGTTCCTGAGTGCTATAGGCTATAAAACATCACGCTACGATCAAATGGAGTTGAGCAGCGGGTGAAACCGCGCGAGAGTAGTTAGTATTCCATAGGCAAAAAAAAAACAATCTTTTACACTGAGACTTCCACTTATAGGTATCGCCAACCCGCATTTCCTCTATTAGTAAAACGAAACAGAAGTCCCCAGACTTACATAAAATTCCCATTACATAATTCCTTTTTTAACATTTTATAAATTCATCTTAAGTTCTACAATCTACCTACGTACTAATAAACGTAAGAGTTGCAAGACCTATGTCCCATTTAGAGTTGACTTTAACTAGGGCACAGGAAAATACCTAGGTATGTTCTCAGTAAACAGCAACCGTATCTGGAAGAAGTAAATGTTAGTTTAGTAAATAACTACTCCAGTCACACGTCGATTGTACTTACCTAACACTTACATAAAAGTCATAGAGGAAATTGATTCTTATTACTTACGACATAAAGGCGGTGTCTACGACCAAGAGTTACGACTAACAGGTTGTTTGTACTTGTCGAGGACGTAATGTGTTACCTATATCTACGTAGTATTTATTACTTTCAATAGGTCAAATGTGAGATGGTGGTTCTTATTTAGAGAAATGCTTTAATTATTTTCTTTTATATTTTGTGAATCTTTGTCCTATCACCTATCTCGTAGTTGCGTCAGATTCGTTTATTGTTATGTGTGATGATGAATATGGTTCATACAAAAGAACTAAAATATGTACTTACTTACCAACATTTTACGGTGCATAAACTCGAAAAAAATATAACATAGGTACACACTTGCATAGCTATTTACCGAACGTAACATCAAAAATAAAAATAAAAGAGATCAGATACACACATTAGGTTTAAGTAGTGTGTGTAATATAATGGCACTGGTGTCCTGCAACATAGGCTACTCAGGGAGGCCTGGCCTAGGCAAAGAGGGTGTAGTTGTATATATTTATACAGGGCGTGTTTTACATTATCTGGATCCCCAGATGAGCTTACAACATCACGTTGTCAACAACGTTGGATTTGTGGGGAGAAAATGTTTTGTGGTATTTATAGGGCGGAAATCGCTGATGGTACCTAAGTAAGTAGTTACCTAAATTGTACATTATTATTCAAAGTTTCCCGGTTTGGGTAGGTAGAATTAGAAAGTATGTGTTCCATAAAGTAGCTTCCTACATGGGCCTAAGCCAAGTTTAATTAAAAACTTCATAAACATAGGTACCTAAATCTTTCTTGCAGACTTTGTCACGTTTAGTACCTACGCATCGGGCACGCTGTTATAGTAGAGACGCCACGGCGTCATCACCTTCCGCCTGACGCAGGTGCTTCGGTTGGTCCTGTTTTGATTCCAGCGGGAGGAAACGCCCGAGTGTCGTCATTGTGAGCACCACCTAGAGGACATGGTGGAGCATACGGTGGCGATGTGCCCTGCCTGGGCTGAGCGCCGCTGTGTCCTCGTGGAAATGATCAGTGGCGGCGACCTCTCGTGCCCCTTAGTCCAGGCCATGGTTCATAGCGAGAGGAACTGGGAAGCCATCTGCCCTTTCTGCGAAGCAGTGATGCTCGAAAAGGAGGAGGCGAAGCGCGTGAGGGAACTATCCTCCTCGCGCTCCAAACACCACATTCCCGCCGAGTAAGGGTAGCTCGCCGCCCGACCAGAACCAGACCTGAGCATACGGCGCGTAGCGTTCCGCGCGCGCCACAAAGAGCCAATGGACTACCACAGACGGGGCCCTATATGTATAATAGGGCTGATGTTCAGCCGGGGTTGCGGGTTAAGCGCAATGAGTCACCGTGGCTTCGGCCCAGAGCAGGAGAAGGAACGGGGTGGTGTTAGTCAGTAAGAGTCTGACACTCTCTCTCGCCTAACCCTAGGCGGGAGAAGCCATTTGATGATTTTCCCGTGACAAAAAAAAGTACCTACCTACCTACTCATTTTTGAATAACTTCCATGTTCCAATGATGTTTCGACTGTGAACTTAAAAACAAAAATAATGATTTTCTCTATAGTTTATTTTTGTTTGAAGTTATAAAATTAATGCATGTTTGTGTTGCATATTGTATAATGATTTTCTGGAAAATTGAAGTAAGTATTTATTCATTTAAATATACCTCTGATTTCCACGAATTTAAAAGTAGGGCATTGAGTAAAACAAGGTAGGATTTTTAATCTTGCGCGGAAATATTATTCAATTTTAATTACATATGAAACAAAATCACGCCTTTTAACCTCGGAAAAGTAAGTTGTGTTTTTTTATTAAATATTTCCCACCATTTCATTTGTACCTTGTATACCTATTCTGTGCTTGTTTACGAACACAAAATTTGACAAACTTATCATATCCAGACTCGGAATAAAAATGTGTGGATCACTCAAAGTATTGTTTCATGCAGTAAATAATCACCTGCCATATTGCACAGCAGTCGGTCAGCCAGTTACTGAGGGCACCTATAATGTTTATACTTATTCTGTTATCATCCTAACAGCATGGTGTCTGGTATTTTATCACGATAATTGCTCAGGTACCTACCTTCTTTAACTGCTAGGTGACATAATTAGTAGTCAAACTTCGATCACCTACGATAAAAAAGAAGATAGATTGTTTTACATCTGAGAAGCGTCACTTTGTTGTTTAATCAGATGCCAGTAAGATACTTAATTGACCATACTTTTAATATAAAACCAGTCGTCACTAATATCATCAGCCCTGTTTTCCAAGGAGAAAAGGACTTTTCACACTGACAAGGAATTTGCACTAGTTACCTTGCTTGGTCGAGACGGATTGACAATTTCGAGGGTAGGTGTAATTTGAATTTATGATCCAGGTTTCCTCTCGACGATTTCCTTGAACATAATATGACAATGGGGTCTAAATAATCTAAGACAATAAATACACTATAACTAAGTGCAAGTATATGAAATTAGGAAAAGTCACACTGGAACTCGGCGTAAAGAAGACAATAGCCATGAATATTTTGTCATTAATTAAGTACCTACTTAAGACTGTCCATTGCTTGACGACAAGCCTCTTTTACTAAGTAACAGGTTTTGTCGTAATCTCCACGCTTGGCCAGCAGGCAAGGAATCGCGAGCATTGCTGACATCAGTATCCGTCAAAATATATCCCTGGTCGAGGCAGGAAAAGAATAATTGGCCATAAATGTATTCAATCACCGTCTTTCTTGCACTCGGTCATTCATTACAATACCAAATTATTTAGCTAAATTATAATTTAACAGTTTATTAAAAAAATCTTTTGTTGTTCTCTGATTAATGATCAAAACAAAAAATGTTTATATGATCAAGTATTTGTAAATTATCGACGGTCATCGAATCGTCTTAAGTGATTAAAGCGATTTTAAGTCAGACTCTTACTTAAAATTATCTCTATATTCTCACTCACAGACGAGACCAGTTAGTCCATTTGTGGTATGTAGTAGTCTGAAAGATTTAAGCTGGCGAAATGCGACGAGTTATAGACTCGAGTCTGGTTCTGGTCGGGTGGTAAGATTTTCTCGCTTGCCGTCAGCTGTTACCGGAGGAGCTTTACGCACTCCGACTCTTTCTTTACAAGCATGATTGCAGAACATTACTTCGCTCGTACCGCAACTACCCTGGCCAAACGTAGGCCTTAACAGTACCATAACTTCCTGTGTCATGGTCGAACGCATTTTTGAAGTGCGCACTTGACGTGTCGTACGCTCAGGTCAGGGAAACTACCCTCGCCATTCGCAGACCCACGCTTTCCTTAGACCTTCGAGCGATACCCAATGGCCGGAGTGTCTCCTGCGATAAATAACTTGGGCATTAGGATTATCGTTCCCTTACACGCTCTGCGTGTGAACTTCTTCTCCTTCTCTCTACTTCTTCACCCTTTGCGACATTATTGTTTGGCAGAAGGAGGAGAGGGCTTCCGGTTCGGCGTGACATTGATAACCGCCACCGATAGCTTCTTCAGTTCTTGTAGTCCACCATGTCCACTGGGTGTTCCTCGCAGTGAACGGAAGACGCCCCGTGAGTTTCCTCTAGCTTGATCTAAAAAGGGTACTTCCCGAAACTCCGGTGTCCGGTAAGATTACGCTTAAGGTGGAAGTTTAAGGCGAGCTGCAAAATTTAACGCTTTTCATAAATTGAAAATAACTCCCTCTTCGCTAGTAGAATGACTATTACAATATTATAATTAAGTGTAGTGATCATCACTATATTTAGAAATGGTCATTTTGAAACACTGAGGAATATTTTTATTTTATTCTCTCAGTGAAAACTTTTATTATAATGCAAATATTTTTTTACGATGCATTTTATCAATCTGGTGGCAAATTCTATTGAATTTCAAAGTCAGTACAAAAATAAATTAAGAACGCAGCAACACTTCTCAAAATCCTTCTATCCCGACTTCTAATCCCTCTGGTTTAGAAAAAAGTTAGTCCTGTCATGTCAGAGACATCGCAGCGAAAATCAATATGATATTTTTCTTGTTATTTTTTGCTTATTCGTGATAAAAATTTGTTTTCAAGCTAGTGTTAATAATGAATGTGACAAAAAATATTCCGTTATGTAAACTATTTATTTTGACTAGTATGCATACGTCTGAGATTGTCGTATTTGAATCATCGTAAAACTAATTAACGCCTAATGGGTGCTACTTTTTGTTCGTGATGTTCATGTAAATAATGTGAATAATAAAGTACATCAAAGTAAGATTTTAACTGATATTATGTACAGAAATATTCTAAATTACGTAATAAGCCGCGCATAGTTTAGTGTATATAGAAAACGATGAGGTTTCATAGAAGGTGCGGCGACCGGGTCACACTATTGAATGAAAACTCTACAGCTGTTAGAAATTTTGTAGAATTTAACCATGGCTTGATATTAAGCTCGGAACCTTTGAAGGATGATGTTATATTTGAAGTTACTGTTGACAGAAAGGTAAGAGATAGAACAAAGAAATGTGCTTGTAACCCCACAATAGATTCCTATTAGATTTTATGAATTCATGCTAGCTATAGAATACACATTTTGCTGTTTTAATAAGCTATATATATTAATAAAATTCTATTCATAAATTTTAACTCCCATAATGCTTCAGCAACTTTAAACAAAGGGATTTATGGGATAGAAAATGTTATGCTCCTCAAAAAGTTGTAAGATTACTTATAAGTTGAAAACAGTTATTTTTGTTTCTCACATGATTTTTCTTGTTCATGTAACTTTCATCACAAACAATGACAAAATGGGACAATACGATACAAAAACATTGAAAAGAACTTGATTACATACATTGGTTCCTACCAACATTAATGTTGCTGTTACAACGACATCTACCAATATTGTTACTGCTTTTACATCACTTCTGAACATTAATTCTGTGTTATAATAGGTGAATGTTTGGAATGGAAGCCTGGAAATAGGTGTAACAACATTAGACCCTGAGTTTATGGAATTACCTGCTACGGCAACAAAACTCAGGAATACAGCATGGGTAAGAAAACAATCATGTTCTTTATGCAAACACAATTTCTTCTAAGAACACTTATTCATTCCTGTCTAATAATAGTGCAATAAAAACAGCTTTTGTGCTCAAAATAATATACCCTAAGGTTTTGACAATGAAATGTCTAATATAACTAACAAATGTCTACTTTAAATAAATTGTAAACAAAGAATAGGTTAATAAGATATTTAGGAATTATTGAATCACTATACCGGCACACATATCACTATTAAGGATTATAAATATAAAACACTCATATTTGCAAAGCATACTTAGGTTAGGTTGAATGTCAACAAAAAACTGATAAAGGCAAATCTTCCCTTAGTTTAGATCACCATTGACTCACATGGCGTTTAACATATTAAATATATTGTACTTTTTAGATTATGTCAGGCAGTTCTATTGTCAAAGATGGTGTCACTTTGGTCAATTCATATGGACCGGAGTTGGACACTTTGCGGGAAGGCGACTGTATTGGTGTTATGAGAACTAGTAAGGTAACTATCGGTTGTTGATACATAAATATAGACTCAATCAGTGTTTCTCTTAGTCACTTTTTTCAATACTAAAATCTTATTTGGTATTGAAGTTACAGTTTGCTTCTATTCAAATAGTAGTCATAGTATAATTAATGTGTATTTTTTTTTCTCAGGGTGAATTAACATTTTATCTCAATGGTCGCTGCCTGGGAATAGCTGCAAGAGATCTTCCGTCAAGACTATTTGCTGTAATTGACTTGTACGGACAGTGTGTCCAAGTGTCTATATTGCGTTCGAATGAGATAAGACCAATCATGGATAGCAGTATTGAACAGGTAAGGCAACAATAATTCGTTTGTCTTTTTAATTAAAAATGGACAGTATTTTAAGAATTTCTATCAATATTTTAGATTGAAGAGGATCCAAACAATGATGGTACTCTTACATCTAGTGACATGGATGTTGCCGGTCTTCCACCCGAGTCTAGCCAATACCCGAAAGAACCTCGTAATGTTTACATTCCAATGCCTTCCGAAGGTGCATGTGCTCTTGGTAAGTGATATCAAACTAATTGTTAGCATCTAATATTCTTATTTGCAAATTTTTATTCTTATTGTATGTATTCTTCTTCTACAGTACCACATGACCGATTGCGGTTTCATCCGAGATGCGGAATCTTAGTGAAACTGTCAAGTAATAACAAGTAAGTTTTTGATATTGTGTACTTTATTTTGTGCATATGGGAACAGGTCTTTCGTGTTTTATATGTCCCTTGACTTATTCTGTCTATTAAAAAATCGTATCAAAATTAGACACGTAATTTTATAGGTCTAAGTATACATAAAGACAGACAGAGGGGAAGTGAGCGAGTGTTTGTTTTATATTATGTAGTGACTGCCAGGAACCTAAGAAATGTTCGTAAAATTAAAGTGTATCTTTGACAACAGGACTGCGGAACGAGCTCGTCCACTCGACGACTACAACAATGGTGTAGTGATGACACATCGTCCACTCTATGACAACGAACTGTTTGAAATACGAATAGATAGGCTCGTTGACAAATGGAGTGGAAGTATTGAGGTGAGATTCTCATCCCTACTCATTTATTTTACTTTCTATTGGGAACTTTTGATGAATGTTAAACATTATTTTATTCAGGTTGGTGTGACAACACACAACCCTGCTACAATACGTTTCCCGTCCACTATGACTAACATGGACACTGGAACAATAATGATGTCAGGATGCAAGGTGCTTCTCAACGGCCATGGTACTTGCATGGAGTATGGCAACTTCAACCTTGACGAACTGAGAGTAAGCAACATCACTTCTCATCTCTCTACTTATTTTTATGTAAAATATGAATATTTTCATAATTGTGAATATGATTTTCGTTATAGGAAGGTGACACTGTTGGTATGATGAGGAAGAGCAATGGTAAATTGCATTATTTTATCAACGGTATCGACCAAGGTGTTGCCACTGATAAAGTAGACCAACAAGTTTGGGGGGTGGTGGATCTATATGGAATGACTGTCAAAGTAAGTAATTGTAATTTGAAAAAGACACAAGCTTACTATTCGTCGTCGACTTCATTAACACTGAATTATTATTTGACAGGTATCCATTGTGGATCCTTGCGAAGATTTGGATAGTAACATCAATAATCCACCTCTCATGCTCGCTTCGCCTGAAATCCCTGCACCCAGTAAGTAAATGTAGTTACTAAATAAAATCAAGGTCTTAAGTGGCAATTTGTATTTGTGTTACTCAATGCATATGATTTTACAGGCAGGTTTAGACCAAGAATAGACGAAGAGAGCCTTTTATTTCATACGCTGCGTGATTCGAATGTTATTATTATTAACGATGGTAAGACTGCTCATAGGCCTAAGTGAGTATTCACAATTTTTATTCTTTATTTTCATTATTATTATAGCAGAAATGGAGTCTTATTGTTGTATTTATATTTTTCAGTGCTTTCAAGTACTTCAACAACGGAATCGTAATGACGAACCGTACCTTAAAAACCAACGAACTGTTCCAAGTACGTCTCGACCTTGTCATCCCGAAGTGGGCTGGAAGCATTGAAATTGGAGTCACGCAGCATTCTTCTAATGATATAAAATTTCCATTCAAAATGAGCAATGCCAAGTAAGTTATTATACGAGAAAGTTGTTATTATTTCATGGTTGAGTTAATATTCTACAAGCTCAATAATTTCGATTTAAATACTCATTTAAATTGTTTGACTAGATCCGGCACGTGGGCTGTGACCGGAGAAGACGTAATTCGAGACGGTACAATTGTTATTCCACAATACGTAAGAAACCTCAATAAACTTGTGGTAAGCCTCAGTTAGTTACTATGGATTTTTATATATACAAAATAGGTATGATTATTACTTATTTCCATGTTTCTCTCATCTTAGGAAGGAGACACTGTAGGAGTTATGCGTAAGGAGTTGGGCATCCTACATTTTTTTGTCAATGGTGTGGACCAGGGACCGGCTGCGTTCAATGTCCCTGAACACGTATTTGGCATAGTAGGCAAGTTGAAAAATTATCTGGATTTTTTTATGCCGTCGTATCACAACACTTTATACAAATAATGTCTTTTTTTTGTTTTAGATTTGTACGGCCGCGCAGCGCAAGCGACAATAGTGGACGAATACACCCCACCGCCAATATATTCCCCCGAATCACCATTGTCTTCCGAATCTAATGCTACAATATTTCCGTGAGTACTTACTTGTTTTTCTCATTAACAGTTATTTTTGACCACTTATTTTTGACAACACTGGTCATATCAATAACTGTGTGGTAGTAATTGAATTGTTCAAAATGATATATGTATGATTTATTTATGGAAAGGTTCACTTGTTTTGTAAACTGATATGGGGTTATTATAAGAACAAAATCATAAGTATGTATAAATAAGAACGCGTGGGTGTTGCTGTATTTAGGGACATTAGCGATATTAAATACGCTTTTGTCTCGGGGCTATGTCTAGTCAAGCTGACCTTTCACCTTTGGCTTAAACAAAAATAACTTATCCCCATAATTCTGAGAATGTAGGCAGAGGTGTGTTACGCCCACCTTTTGTTAGTTATGTTAGAAATCTCATAGGGACTCATTAGTCGACTTCGAACCATCATCAGTGTAACTTGATTGGAATAATCTGCCTTTGTACTCCTGTAATCTCATAAAGATATTAGAAGTTTAGGAGTGTGCCTCCTAATATTCCGGGAACAAACAATTTCGCCGAGTGGGAAAATACTTTTGAGAAAAGATGTATTTACCCGACTTCAAAATTACTCATTTTCGCAGTGAGATGTGCTTCCATCGCGTGCACGGACGCAACGCGCGTCTGAGTCGCAACCGCTTAACGGCTTGGCGCGCCACCGTCTATTCCGAGTTCAATGACGCTGTGTTGTTTAGCTCACGACCTCTCCGCGAATGCGACATGTTTGAACTTCGTATTGATAAAATGGTTGACTGCTGGATTGGAAGCCTTGAAATTGGTAAGCGATATATAAACTACTCCATGTCTTCTGCCTAGCTCCAAAAATGTTGGTGGGTACTTTGAATGTTCTTTTACTTTGCACAGGTGTGACGGCAATACGTCCTGATGATTTGGAAGCTAGTGGTGGCGTAGGTGCAATTGCAGGAACAGCTACCGACCTGAACTGGGATACATATATCCTCAGTGGAGCGGCTATGATGAAGGATGGGGAGTGCGTGCGAAGTGGATACCCCCTAGACTTGGATACTCTCACTGTGGGAAGCCGTGTTGGTTAGTAAACTATATTACAGTAAAGTAATCTAATTTTAATTCAGAATTATGTTGTTATTTATTTGGCTGCACGGTTGGTGCGGTGGCTGGGCAACTGGCTGCCGTGCAATGTGTCGCGGGTTCGATTCCCGCACGGAACAACTCTTTGTGTGTTCCACAAATTGTTTTTCCGGGTCTGGGTGTCATGTGTATGTAAAATTGTATGTTTGTAACCGCACCCACGACACAAGAGAAAATCCTAGTGCGGGGCAACGTTCATTTAAAAAAAAAAGAAAAAATAATGAATTGCCGTCTTTATGACTTAGCTATAAGGGTTAAAGTGGAATGTACAATGTATATTGTAAATTACCAGGTATGATGTGGCATGCTGATCGGAGTCTGCATTACTATCTGGACGGTATGGATATGGGCAAGGCTTGGTACGTGCCCCATCTCAACATTTACGCTGTCGTCGACTTGTATGGGCAATGCACGCAGGTATGTAGAAAAACTTTATAAGCAGCGCTTGTACATGCTCTTAGCCGATTCTATATGCAAATGAATTTAAACTTTGTGTTACTTTCATAGGTGACAATATTGCAAAATGAAGAACGAGCGTTTAATTACAATGGTTGTACTAATTCGGACAACTCTATGTTGAGTAACTCGAGGGCTTTGTCATCGCCGCCACCACCGTATTGGTAAGCACTATCAACGCGATTTTCAAATTTATGGCAATTTCCAGTGAATGCATTTGTGGTTTATTTATTGTTGATTCTTATCATTTGTAGGAGTTTCTCCGAATATGCTGGCGACAATATTTGCCTGATGCACGACTATACAGTCGCTCGGCGACTGACGTCTGATCCCATGGCAGCGCTGGTTTTCAGCTCTGCACACCTTGCTTTGGGGGAATTATTCGAGGTAATATAATTAAAAATAAAACCTTATTCACAACTAAACTTTTTATGTTCAGTAGTTGACCTCATGTTATTATTTGTTTTCAGGTGAAGATACTGGAGTGTAAGCACTCATATGCTGGTAGCTTCCGTATTGGGATCACAGATATCAACATCTTGAATGCTCATGTAAACTGCAGTCTGCCCCCTAGCGTCGCCTGCCTGCCTCACTTCACCGCGTATATCGACGGTAACATACTGTGGTTTTGATATAATAGTTACTTTTTAAACTTAATTTTTTTAGAAGTGATAAGCTAAATTGATATTATAGATAGTGATAACAATGTAACAATGTTGTTACAGGGCGCTACATGAAATACTCGTACCCGGGTACACGAAAACAAGACATATACTCGTTTGTCCCGTCGTTCGAGTGGCTGCGTCCCGGCGATAGAATTGGTCTGAAGAAAATCAACGACTCGCGCGTTATCGTCTACTACAATTCTGAACCGCTCGACACTTACTTCGAGAGAGTTCCCGACGTTAGTATTCGTGAGGCAGGAGTTATTAAAATTATCATCCGTTTTGTCATAACCCAGGAGGCTGAGGGTTGAGTGACAGTTTGAGCTCTAGAAATTATGTAATACTTGACATTGTAATTGCTTCGTAGAACAACGTAGTTGCTGTTTTGAAATTGTAAACTGATTCAATCGATGTAATCAAGTGTATCGTGTATTCAAATGTTTGTTAGTGTTAAATGTTAGAAGTCAAGTAAAACAACAGAGGGGTGTAAAGGAACGTATGTCCGAATGCCAACCTCACCTGCGCGCGGTACACCCTGCAAATACCAACGAGGCCGCTGGCGACCGAGGGTGGCGGTATAACCAGCCCGCGCCACCTAGCCCCTGGACGATGCCGCACCATTCTGCAGCAGAATCTAGAGTCTAGCGGTGGACATTTTGCATACCACATGCGATTACTGACATTCAACCTGGCCTGTGATACTAACCCTCGCTGCACTAGGCACTTGTTTTCTTTTTGCCGTGCCCTGCAAGTTCAGATAATGGGCTTTGTCAGTGGAAGATACCAGCCTCATAAACGAATTTCGGAAGGAAAATGGTCGCCATATTTGTTTGATAGAGACATTTTTAAAGCAAATTCAAGAGTGAAGATATACATGCGAAGGTACTTTAAATTTTATCATAAATGCATGTTTTAGTTTAAATAATAATAAATGTTCAGAGCTATAATTTTCATGGTTATTTTCCGTAACGGATATTTTGTTTTCGAGTTAGACATGTCATATTTATTTTAATTAGAGTTACTTTAGACACGGCAAAAATAGAACATGTTGACTAGTAAGAATCATCATTTTGCTTTTTCTATTTTTTCCATAAACTTAAATGTGGACTGGTTTAAGAACCGTTAAATAAAGCTGGGCATAGCTAAATGTGTGCCAGGAAATATAATATATTATATTTATGTATAATTTCAGTTCATTGTGAAAACAAATATTGCTCATTATTCTCAGATTTAAGATTACCTTGTGTATGGATACGATTGTGAGAATTGAAGTAAGCAAAGACAAATTGTTCTGCAAATTATTCGGCTATAAAAAAATATCAATACAATAGCTTGAAACCAATGGTAGATAATAAAATTTTGTAATTTTTCTGTTCTACACATTTGTACGACTGGGCTTTTTCGGTGGTAAATAAAATTAACGCTTTATTTCCAATGCCTTGGCGCTGAATAATGCTTCTAATGCTATCGCAATGAGGTTGTACCATGAGACTAAGATTTTTAAAAACTTTTGATGAATAGAATAATGATAAAATAACAAAATTCCATGGTAACCCTCTACATCCTACGCCGAACTTCCGAAAAAGCTGATCAATTGGAAATCGAACGGTACGATAATATAAAATAAATTCGTAATTTTTGTGATTTTTTTTTTGTAGTTCCATAGTTATTCAAGCTTAAATTAAAACAAAATTATTACCGCTCTGTAGCGGAACATGCAGGACATCAAGGTTTCCTCTCATTCATTGCTTGCTTTGATTCAATTTTTATCAAGTTATCATAATTTATTTCAATAGGTTACTAGAACATTTATATTATTTACGCTTGTGCAAAAATAGTGTTTATATTAGCTTACATTACTTTAATCTAAAATAAAGTTTGGAAGTCAATCTTAGGCAGGTAAATTGTTACTGTATGCAAGAGTACATAACATAATGTACGTTTGTAAAACTGTTACACCTTCCATACGTGGATAGCGTGCTAGGACGGCATCAATCAACTACCAACATTATGTTGTACCTATTAAGGTCAAACTTACAATGTGATGAATATGGTATAATTGGAGTAATTTGAATTGTGGACCAACCTTCGTAGTAATTCGCAGGTGAAATTAATCTAACTGTGAACTTATTATCACTCTCGAAGACTAAGTTTGAAATCATTTTAGTTGAAGCGATCTGCAAATATTACATGACTATGTTGTTTATGGTGATACATCATTTGTTTTGATGTCATTTTGTACAACATTTGAGCACTGCGTCTCACAAAATAAATAAAGATAAAGTAATGTAAAGAACTTAAAGCTCTGTAAGGGTTGGGCAAAGTTAAAATGCGCAGTCTTCTTGTCTGTTATAGGTTCTTTTAGGTATTGGGGGTAGATGTACTGTGTTTTGATTTGTGGTCTTTTTGGTTAAGCAAACCTCATACGTAAAGCAACAGGTATACGGCTAAAAAGGCCACATCGAAAAGGCTAATTATACAAGGCGTTTTGATATTTTATTTTATGTATATTTTACAAGTGGCAAACCTGCTTAGTGAACTCTATATTGTTAATTGCAAAATTAGTTTTGGTAAATTATATTTATATAAAGGGGGAGGTGAAGTACCTAGTGTAGTTTAATTTGAAGTGGTTTTGGTTTAGCCAACCTCGTTAGTGAAGCAACAGGTACGTGGCTTTGGGGCTATAGGTTACATATCGAAAAGGGGTATTTATAGTAGGTATTTTCATATTTTTTTTCATGTGTAGCTTATAAGTGGGAAACCTACTTAGTAAAGTCTATACTGCAAATTTGAAAATTAGATTTTTTATATATTATTATATTTTATAATAGGTTTTGTGTATCATAATAGTGTCTTGATAGAGAATAGAATATATCAAAGGTACAGTCATGCCCCGAAGTAATAGAAAAAAATAAATTAAAGATATTACTTACATACTTTGGCGGGCTCTCTATTCATGTAAGTCGGGGTATGACTGTGACTATACAGAAATAATTTACTACTGAATTTACTGGTTCGTTTCAGTAGTAAATATCAGTTTTACGAACCGGTTATTCATTTCGTTTCAACTAAGTACTAAAAATGTATAAAAAAGCAGTTATGTCAAGCATATTTTTAATATTATATTTCATATCAAGCTTGCAATGATCATAGACACCCTGTTTCATTGTGGACAAAGAGTGTCTTTAACTTTATATCAATATGATCTTACTCCATTCAAAATACAAAAAAACAAAGAGGATTTGGGTGAGATATACCCAAATCCTCTGTGTTTTTATATATATGCATGCACTAGTATTGCGTGATGTTATTTCACCATACACATATTTATGAAGACAGTTCAGTAAATGTAACTCTTATATTTTGTATGATGAAATACCAGCAGTGCATGGTATCCTTACCTTTGATATTCGACGAACAAATGCTCCTTCTGACCATGTCTCACTTCTTCATTCAATCACCGCTTGCAGCTTCATCACATTATGGTACTAATAACAACACACACATTATGAAATGATATAACGTTCAATGCAATTGAATTAATGGGAATTCACCTTGTACCTTGTGCATATGTGTGACAAAATTATTTGTTCTCATGAAAAGCTGTATATAAATTAAATTTGCCATAAATCTGTTTACAATAAACCAGTGCAAAGCAGGTCTTGTAATCTGTTCACTCGGATTCTACATAGGTATATTTCCCGTTAGTTCACACAGCTTTTAACTTTAAACAAATATAATTAAACGTTATTTTTCTTTGTCGCTACAGAAAGTGTACGTGGTGATTGAATTGTACGGACACGTCACCAAGATACAAGCCGTCTCCCAGGGGGCTCTCGGGGCTGGACTGAATCAAACAACGAGTAAGTAAACAAACAATACATTTATTTCGTGTCGACTTCCCTAACGCAAGTTAAACGCTGTACTGAAGCTAACTTAAAATTGTCCCTTTCCACGAACCCTTACTACAATTGCGGCTACTGGTTAATGTTTTACAAGTGATTGATACCGTAAGGCGAAGCGGCTAGCCCGCCGTCACCGTCCTCCATCGAGCCTCATCAATGCTGTATCGATTGAACTGCACTTTGCCCTTAATGTCCTATGCATTTTTCATGAGTTGCCTTTAACCGTTCTTTTTCTAAGGGTTCGTGCAGGTCAAACTGTATTATGTACGATACGTTTTAACTATTCATTTTGTAGCACACAGCGATTTAGTAATTAGGTATATGTAACTTACAGCCTTTTAATGATGATTACTGGACAGTTTAGTAACTTACTACTTCTAAAATGCTTTGCAACATAATGTGCCACGTATTGAATATGAAGACGCAAATTAATAACGTAACCCAAAAAATAATTATCTTTTGAAAACATTTTAGTCGGATTTCACACAAAACTGAACCTTTATGAATGCCAATATAACTGAAGAAGATACATTTTCATTTATGTTTCAAAAAGACAAGCTTAAAGTTTTTTTTAAATGAAAGAAATTAGTACTATACTTATTTATCGCCTGCACTTAGCTTGATGCCTACGTTTATTTATTTGGCTGTATCACATATTGTACTATTTTTATTGGTTGTGAATGATGTCGATTAATTATAAGTCTTTTAATTGCGAAAGTCAATATGCAAATTAATTTGATTTTTTGAAGTAAATAACTGCGATGTAATTTTAATGTGTTTGATTTTTAGTTCCTAACGACGGTGAGGACTTCTCGAAGCAAATAGCGACGCCATTGAATTTAGGCCAATTAAGCAGTGACAACACAGATGAAGTTTTTGATATTCATGGGTCCTTAGCGGGTGCCGCGTGCCCATTAGCGGATGTTCGGCAACGAACTTCTGATCGCACATTTGACTCGGCCGATGATCCCGGTGAAGACACAACCAGTGAGGACAGCGTTGGTGAGGATCTGTTAGCCACGGAAGACGAAGCATCTGCCGCTGAAGACGATACAATGGGTCGCAAGAGCAAGGCTCCCATACTGAAGGGCAAGTACGCCAAGCTGGCTGCACAGGCTGCTCAAGCTGCCGCTGAAGCGCAAGCTGCTGCTCGGGCTGAGGCTAGGGCTACCGCCCAAGCCCAAGGCAAGGGCAAAGGAAAAGGGAAGCGCGGCAAGGCTTCCTCTCCTCCAAAGGAGGCGCCAGCTACAACAGCCTCTGCTGAGCCGTCGACTCCCGGTGCGGCTGCAGAAGTGGGCGCTGGTGTGCCTGCAACATCTGGCTCTGGCTCTGGATCGGGTTCGGGTGCTGAAGCCGAGGAAGGAGGCGCTCAAGACGATGAGCCACCCGCTGGCCCGTCTACTGAACCACCGTTAGATCTCTCAGAACCATTGTGCGATCCCCCTGCCGAGCCAGCCCCTGAGGCCGAGCCCGAGCCGAGTCCAAGTCGCAACAACCTGCCCTACACGTTCTTCAATATTCACGGCGTCAACATTAAACTATGCAGTTCAGGTAAATACTTAATTGTGCTATTCTTTTATTTATTTTTTCTTTCATGTAGCTAGCAATTCTATAGATAAGTATTGGCTGGGAACTGGGGAAGCGACTGTGGACTAAATGTACCGAATCGAATAGAATTCGATTCACAAGTCAGCAAAAAACATATTAAGATGTTCCATTAATTGGACGAAACATTAATAGTAAGCTCACAACATTTGACTAGAAACTTATTTAATTACCGTTAAATATTTGTTACATAATAATACTTATGTATTTTAAAAGCAAGTAATTTATTACCAACCGCATTTCGTTTCGTTCCAGATACTGTGGCGATGCGTTTCCAGGGATATCAAGAAGGTCTGGCGGTAGTTAGTCAGCCACTTCGCCGCGGACATAATTTTAGGGTAAGTTGCGTCACATAAAGTAAACGAACTCGTAGTTTAATTTTATCTGACTTAAAATTTGCGTAATTGCTCAGCGCTATTTATATTATTAAGTATCTATACGTATTAAAAAAGTTTTGCGATGTAATTACAATGAATAAGATGCTATAGCGAAAATGTAAAGTGTTAATTTTCTAGCAATGCGACAGTTCTCTATTCCTTTGGTTTTGCCTTGCATATAAAATGCGAAAATATTTGTATAAGTTTTATGCTTATTTAGTAAATGTATAACTCAGAATTCATGGCATGCGTCAATGTATACCAAAATAGTAAAAAAATATTAGTGATTATTATTAAATAGTACAGGGTGTACTATTTTATGATTATAACTTTGACCTATACCATCACAAGACTAAAGATAAAATAACTGATATTACCGATTGTAAAGAACTATACCTACGCTACAGCTAGCATGTTTTTTTCATTCACTTTTCTTTCTTTCTAAGTTTTTTTACTAATTGGTGATGTGTTAAGTAATTAGTCTGACATTCGCTTGGCGTTCAGTTGTATAATTATAAGCAAAGCAAATGGCTCTACTAAATTTAGTGTCTTGGTTGGCGTTACATAAATAAATATCAAAGTATTATATCTAGTCGTTTTTGCTATTCCTAACTAAAATTGCAAACCTCGTTGGGTAATTTATGTATTGTAGCCCTGCTCTTTGTACGAATGCTGAGTTATTTTTTTTTTAAATATGTCGAATTTTCGACTTCTTTTATTTTCCTTTATCGTCCTAGTACTTTGTTGTTCGTGTTATTACAAGACGACCAAGCTAAGTTTCCACTTCGCTGCAGAGCGACATTATCAAAACGAGTTGAATACTTACCTTGGTCGAGTTATAATTATGTTAACGTATTGCCATCAGATCTTTACACGGCATATGTTTTGTTTCAGTTCCGTGTGGACAAAATGTGCGATGATTGGGTGGGCACGATATCCATTGGGGCAGTGGGCGCGCTCCCGGCCGAACCTATCAGGAACGGTATCCCGACGGAGACACCCTGCTGGATGCTGTCCAGCGATATGCTCAATGACAACGGGACATTCGTAAGTATTTCACGTCTCACATCATCAGCCTTTAAGTGCCCACTGCTGAGCAAAGGCCTCTTTCCACAAGGAGAAGGTTTGAGCATTCATCACCACGCTTGCTCAAGACTGACTGGCGATTTCCAACTCATTATTAGAAATTATAAGTCCAGGTTTCCTTAAGATGTTTTTCCTTCGCCGCTTGTCAGTGGTCTAAATAATCATAGATACATAAATCTCACATCTGGGCCACCACGACATATAAGTATTTACTTTGTAAAAACGTCTAGTAGTGGTTAGAAAGAATTAATGATAGGTTGCATACCTTGGTCCTCAAGCAAAGTGTGCTTATGGTTATATTTAAGTAAATTGGTACTGTGTATACAATTTTTCTGTAATCGACTTATCTATAACAGGCCGTCTAATTCCTGAAAATCTATTAATAAGTGCCATATGTGGTTCGAAATCTGAAAAACTGGAGGTTAATTACCTTTTTACAAAAATTTGGTTGCTATTATTTGAAAAGGTGCTCTTTGGTTTGGTAGTGTAGGATTGCCAATTGCAAACAATCTTGTGCTCTATAACTCTGTGTAGTGAGTTAGTCTTGTTTGACAGTCTATGCACTGTAATCGATATTGTACTCCACTTGTCTTGTAATCGATATTGTAAGCAAGTATGGTAATAAAATATCGCTAATATTTTATTACCATACTTGCTTAAAAGGAAACTTGATTCTTAAATACCATAAAAATGTTTTAAGTACCTTTGTTTAAAAAATCTATTCATTTTTATTTTAGTTATTAAAATATGTATTCAGTCTTCTTTTTAATATGCTTATAATAATAGGTTAGTACCCTCGAAGGTTGCAGTTAACGTTTACGTTTTCAAAACATTATTACACGTTTTCGGAAGGTAATGATAAAGTTCAGATGTACTAATGATGACTAAGATATAAGCATGGGAAAAAAAGAAGATAGATCAATTAATGATGATATTTATTTATCTTGGGTAGATTTTTTTACCGTCTCAACAATAGGATCATAACAATAGATAATTAGATACATAGAGGAATAAAAATAGATACATACATCATTTGTTATTGTGTTCGTTATTTGAAATTTAGTAATCGGAGAGGCCACATATTGAAAAAAGACTGCGTAAGGACTTTAATAAACGTGATCCTTTTTAAACTGATATGTCTAATACATCTGCCGAGAGATGACATTGTGACAAATCCCTGTATTTTAGAAGTCCAGTGGCAGAATTTCATGGGATTTTGATGTTGAAACGATATTTTATAATGTTACAGTATCACTCAATGATGGGGACGGTGTTGGAAGAACTGACGGAGCAGTCGGTCCTCACTCTACACTTCCGCTTCACCAGTGAGCTGGTACTCCAGGTCAATGGAAAGATAATTGGCTGCATCGCCACCATTCCACGCCGGTTCAGCCAGGTGTATCCAGCTGTTGACTTGTACGGCATGATTTGTCAGGTATGTACTACAATGTTTTCTTTAAGCTTTTGAAAGTAAAAAGACACGTAGTCTGTAATATGTATAAAAATTAGTCGCTCAATGTATTTTTACAAACTCGAAACTTGTAGTCCAAGAGCACTTGGTATTTAAACTTTGTTTTAATTCCAGGTGTCAGTGTTACTGCATCCTTACGTTATTACAAGCGGAGCATCATTGGACTTACCAGTCATCAGCGAATTTAGAGAAGAGACATTTGATGGACTCTCAGATGACGATGCTGAAGCGGTAAGCGAAGGACAAACGGAAAGGAAACGTAAAAAGAAAGCTTACAGTCAAGACAATCTGGTTGATGATGAAGATGTTCATTGGGAGCCTACATACTTACCCGCCGGACCCAGCCATGGGCTGAGCCTCACGCCCTATCGTGTGCCAACTCCACTTCCTTATCGTACACCGAGCCCATTTCCGAAAACAGGAACAAAACCATTAGAGAGCCCTGACCCAATCCCTGTAGTTGTTATTAAGAAAAAGTATAAAAAGAGCAAGAACAAGGATGCTAGAGTTCGGGCTGTTCTAGCTGAGGCCCCAATGTACACCAGTCTTAATTTGCCGTTGTATCCAGTCGCTGATAATAACGAGATGGTGAATCGCTGCATTAAAAAGAGCCACTCGACGCACAACTTTTCCATATCGAGTGACGAACAGGAGTCAGGCAGCTCGCTCCGTCAGACTAGCAGTGTGGGCTCACGGGCGGACGATGATCGGCAATTGCGTCGCGAGGAGCCATACAGGCCGCCTGTCGCAACATTCTTAGATACCAACATACGTCATAATGATCGCTACCCTGAAGTAAGTGATGTCGATAATCTGGACAATGAGATAGTGGACGCCCTTACCATGGAGACTGGAAACTTGCCCGATCTGACTGAAGAACAGTCTTCGTCTATTGATGATTCCACGCGACGGGATGATTTTTGGTCTGAGACGTTGTCTGCGGAGTATTTACACTATCTCAACCGCATCTTGTGCTTGGATCAAGATGGGGCCGCTTGTCAAAGCTTGGAGTCTGAGTGGGAAGCTTCTGGGGAAGGTTGCGAGCACCTGCACCTTGTTCTGAAGTATTGGAACTATCTCGTCCTGCCGTACCCGGAACTGCGGCAAGCTGTGTCCTGGGGACAGGTGCGCTGCTACTGTGCCAACTGCCAGCCTGACGCTGCAACACCATTCGCTGGTAAGCTACTACACAAATCAATAATGTATTTTTCGTTGCTGTCTGTCTTTGAGTAGTAATAATCCAAGGACCACCTTCGAGTCAGCTCCGGCTTTTAAATATGTATATGTAAGTATAGGTTTTTTGTGATTGTCGTGATGTTTCGGTGGTTATAGCGCTCGCCTTTCAAGTATACTGTGCGGATTCGAAACCTGACAAATCCCAATTTTTTTTTTAGATTATTTAGATATGGGTGACATACGGTGAATGAAAATATTGTGAGGAGGTGGCTGGTTTAGCGTGACATCTAGTGACTTAACAATGTATTGCATGATACTATAATTCCAGGCTGGGTCCGTATCGAGCGTATTGACGGGGTTGGCGCAGCTCAGCGTGGGTTTTGGCACGTGGTGCGGTCTACACTGGGCGCTGCGCAAGTTGTTGGTGGGGAGCGCGGCCCCGTGCGTCGTCCCAGGGGTCTCAGCTCTGCTCCGTGCTCCTCACTGCCATTCGCTGACATGTAAGCCATTTTGATATTATTTTTCTATTATCTACTTACGTTTTATACGATACGATATTCCTGGATATTATTGAGAAAGAGTTGCCAAAAATATTACCCCAAACAAGAAACCTTAACCTCTATTTCTGACGGTTTCTTTCGTCAAATGAAGCAGTTGCTAATAATTTGACAGTCAATATAAGGTAATATAAGTAAATAAAAAAAAAAAAAAAAATAAATTTTTATTAAAACATTGAACACGTTTACAATTACAGATGGCTCAGATTTTATAGTAATAAAAAGTCTTAATAATAACAATCGTAATAGTTAATAGCCTAGCTAATACAATACATATGTGAGGAAATAACGTTCTTAGTCTAAATATTAGGGACTACCCGAACTAGGTTTATTTAAACCTGTGTTTCAAGCTATCAATGCAAAAAAAAATAATTCAATGGATATAATAATCATTAATTATCGTATTTCATAATGTAAGACTAAGCAAGGACAACCTGGCCTAAATTATTAAACAAATATAACATCATACTAGTTAATATGTAAGTAATTTACTAAAAATAAGTACTTTATTTTAATACTTCTAGCAATTTTTCCGTATCTGAGTAATTGAGGGACTGTAAATATTCTGTTAGCATTAGTTTACACTTATTTAAACTTACACTATACATTTTTAGCAGCCTATTGAGTTTGTTATATAAATAAGGTCCTAGAAATAAATAAAATCTGTTAGTAAAAGCATGTTTCGTCTGAGGGTTAGTGCAAACTAAATCCTTTCTTTTGCCGGAAAGTACCGGGCTAAAACCAATTTCAGTATGCTGCAGTAGTACTATGTTAAGGATGAATAACTGGCGTACTGTCAGTAGTTTGCATTCCCTGTATAGCTGGTGAGTAGGAAATCTGAAAGGACGAAAGGTGGCGACCTTCAGGATTGCTCTTTGAGCACGTTCTAGGGGCAAGAGAATAGTTTATAAGTAATGCTACATTTATTTTATTTCATTTTAATGAGGACTATGAATTCAGCAACTGTCTTTGTTGTTCCTATCATTGAGGCTATCATTAGGAACACCAAGGATGCCTTATACCTTCTCTTAATGTTACTCGTAGACAAGACAGGACAAGAGAAAGTTAGTTTCACAACCTCCTCCCCAAAAGTCCTTTAGAAAATCAGAAAGTTGTTTCGAAAAAAAAAATATGTAGAAAGGCTAACACGAATGTGGGAAGCCCACATTTTTAACCGGCTTCAAAAAAAGGAGGAGGTTCTCAATTCGATGGGTTTTTTTTTATTTATTTTTTATGTTTGTTACCTTAGAACTCCGTTGTTTATGGACGAATTTGCAATTTTTTTGTGTTTGCTACTCTAAGAAGAAAAACTACTTTAACAGACCAGACAAATATGAACTTACGTACTTAGAAAACCATGCAAGTCCATCCATTAGCGGTCTTTTGGCAAATAATCATATCAGTCATTCAGAATGACGGCAAGCACGCTAGTGTCAGTTTACAAATTACCTCTGGATGCCGATTTGTCCGACGAACAATGCCATACCAGAAAGATTTGGTTAGTTCACAAAAATACTCAAACGTAGACTTACAATAGACATATGAACGACACCCTAATTTCCTGAAGCTTCTTGTGGTAGTCTCATCATATATGTTTATACTTTTCGTGTTGATATTAATTATAACAATGTATTTTAAAAAATCTTTTGTTTTTATAACCATTCCAACTACCAACCACTACAACTTTAATTGTTTTAATCTTCTCGTAATTTCTTGAGCCAGCCATGAACTAAGATTATAAATTGATTAAGTTTATCTTCTTTTAAACAAAAATAAACTAAATATCAACAGCGCGTTCCCTCACACAACGATATCCAGATAGCAAAGTAGCCCCGCTTAATCTACTTTTGTTTAATTTATATTTACTTTCTAATTAGAAATAGATCCAAAAACACTAAGGCTGATTTTTTAACAGTTCGATAAAAAATATCTGGGGAATAATTATGATCCTGTTGCGTCAGAATGTTTGTATAAGATAGTGACAGTAACAATTTTTTTCCTCAGATGACATTATCTGACAATTGAAAATCCGCCCTAATAATAATATACAGCATAGTTTGCGCGGTGGTTTTAGTAATTGATTCCTGCACATTTTGTCGGCTTCAATTTCGAATGGAACAGTGTAACTCACAAAAAGCCAGCTCGTCCATGACCAAAACTATGCTTATTTGGTGTGACCTGTGATCGAGGTGGCTCAGCATGTTACAGAGACCTTATACCAGAAATGCTCTTCCAATACCGCCGACGTATCTTGGCGAGTCTGAAGTAAGCCGATTAGCTGCGCAGTACACAATTTTGTTCCTAAAAGATCCATTTCGCAGACAAACGGCTAACTTCAGACTCGCCAAGATACGTCGGCCGCTCTGTACCTTGTGAATGTGTCAATTGCTTATCATCAGCTGAACCTCCTACTCATTTGCTTTCCTATTCCCTAAAAAACCTAATCTTTACATTGTATGTTCCAGATGGTTCGACGACGAGGGCAAGCCGCATCATACTGTGCTGGCTATAGAGATTGATATCGAGTAAGTAAATTTTTCCATCACCTCATTCCAGTGATCACAAACTTAACTTGTTAAACAATATACCTGCTTCAATGTCTATCGGATTATTACGATTTGTAAATAAATGATGTGACATGGAATCTCCAAGAATATGGGGTAATAGAACTCATAGGCTGAATAGTTCCAGAAAAGGGATAAGTAGTTGTTGGGAATTGTTCTAATATTTATTTATAAGTATATATATTATACTTTATTGTGCACATTATCACAAAATCTACAAAGAACAGGCGTATAACAATAGTGTACAATAGTTCGTCTTAACACACATCTTATTCGTCCAGACAAGCTTTTGGCAGAAATTTCAAAAAACCCTATACGCGGAATTTTAATTCCATTCCAGATTTGACAATTTCAGTGTTGCAACGTTATGACACTTACTAAATAGCGACGTTGCGAAATTATTCGATATGGAAATCGAATATTTCTGAATCGATAACTCTCGTTTATAAATTTACGCTCGTAATCTACGTTTACAGGAAATAAAATACTTCTTAACCGATAATTTAGTTTTAACAATTAATTAACGATCTGACACTTTTCTTTTGTAATTGTGTGTAAAATTAATGAAAAATGTGATCATGAAGGAACATGACAAATAATACAGATATTTTATAAATTGTCGCCGTCATCGCTATCGCTATCGCTGTTACTTTCTGTAACATTTATTATGAATTGTGTCTGTGATATTTATTGCTAATTAACATATCTAGCTTACTCATTTTTTCCTCTTACAACATAGGATAGCCGTAATTTTTTGAATGTCTTCCTGAAACTGATTCACTGATTGTTTATCGATTTTTGTGTTCATCACTACACTGTTATATGTGGTATCATTATTTCACAAAATGACAGGAGGTCATGTCAAATCAGGAATCGAATTAAAATTCTCACTATAGTATATTTATTTATAAGTATATATATTATACTTTATTGTGCACATTATCACAAAATCTACAAAGAACAGGCGTATAACAATAGTGTACAATAGTTGTCTTAACACACATCTTATTCGTCCAGACAACCAAAAAATTTAAAAAAACTTGGTCATGGGCTGTGTCATTATAATGTATAAACTCCTCCACTCATCCTCTGTATTCACCTATCGAATTTTATTCACCCAGTTTCAACGTTATCGTTTGGATTATGATTCAGAAAATTTCGCTAAGACTCATTTATCACCAACCGCCTTTTATATTCCAATGCTGGAATATGCCTCTCATCTCCCTAAGAGACTTTGCCTGTTCGCTATGTAAGGCAGGCTACTTGAAATTGCAGAGTATCCCATTGTTGCTTAATGTCTGTTTTTTGGCCAAGTAAAGTGTCATAAACGAGTATATGACACTTTACTTGGCAAAAGAGGCCAATTCCTTCCCCTCCCCCAATCCCTCCTCAATCCCTTAATCTCCAAATCCCTAATCCCTAAAAGGTCGGCAACGCACTCGTAACTCCTCCATTGCGAGTGTCCATGGGCGGCGCTGATTGCTTACCATCAGGTAATCCGTCTGATAGTTTGCCGACCTATTACATAAAAAAAAAATCTGTATCGATAATTATGTTGTTGTATACTTTCATGAAATATTGTCAATAGACCATCACTTAAACTGCCCCTCAATAGGTTATGGCTTTTACTTATGACACGTTCTTACGCGTCTTTACTTCTTAATAAAAAAGGCTCACAACCAAAGTAGGTATATCACTAGAAAATTGACCAAAATATCGCAATCTTTCAAGGGGATAGTAGTGTAACATTTTTTTTATATCTTTAGGTTGACTTCGAGTACGGTAGTTGTCAACAAGTCAAATTCAATACATTTATCGAGATGGCAAAAACAATACCATTTATAGATGTCGTTTAAGATACCTACTTTTGCGTCAATAATCATACTTAATTGCATCAATAATTAAATATAATATTTTTTTTAATATTTTATATGAAACTCGGAATATGTTACAAAAAAGCCATGAGTATAAATGTGGGGAGGGAGAGGGAGAGGGAGAGGGAGACCAAAGAAAATATGGATGGATTGTGTGATAAGTGATATGGAAGACATAGGAGTTAGTGATAGCGTGACGGGTGACAGGACAGAATGGAAGAAAAAAAAACATATTGCGCCGACCCCAAATAAAACGGGACAAGGGCAGGAAGATGATGATGGTGATGATGATATGAAACTCGGAATAGTTTATAATGAAAATGCAGCTTGAATCAAATAGAAATATACTAGGATTGTAGCTAATTGTCTCTTTCTTAATTTCCAGGGGTTCGGACGAAGAGAACGATCGTTTACTGGCGTTCTTGATCTACTTGAAGCCGCACTCGTCCTTTACTGAAGATAACTCACCGAGCCTGGACGACTAAGCGTCTCTGTATGTTTTACTCAACTCCTAATCCTCTATACTCTTCGATAGCACCGTGAACATACTGATAAGAAGGTAAACATATTCTATCATGTCCGAGATACAGGTGTACTCAGCACGGTGCGAATTTTTCGAATTGTTCTTTATGTTAGACATTAAGGGACACAAGACGGTTGTCATTTAAGTATTATTAATAGTATTTAATTATAGACCCGTGCCGTTAGGAAGGCATTTTCGTTACAGTGTTTTTTGATCCTCAGGTCGAGTGTTTGGGGTACTAACTACTAAAAGTAGTCGTGGTAGAGTGGTCATTTTAACGTCAGTGAGACGTTGATTAATACTCAGCTCTTTTATAAATAATAAGAAAAAAATTGTCCCATTAAAAAAAACCATAATACATATTGGAAGTATATTTATTTCTTAATTTTTATGACGCGACGTTTACAGGAAACCATGACCCAAGTAAAAGGAATGTGTGAATGACGGACCGTTGTGTGTGGCGCGGATCAGCTTTTCGACTTACAAGTATTATGGCCTGTTTCGCATACCCTTTTTTTTGTCAGGGGAATATCATTAAATGCCTCCCGCCCAGGGTAAGGCAGACGGGGGGCAAAATGGGGCAGACGCTTACTGACTAACGCCCGGTTCCTATAATTGAGAAACGATCCGTTTTAATTACGAATAGTTGTTTTATATACGACTCGTAAGCTAAAACCGTTCCTATAATAAACGTCTCGTCGTGCAACTTACTGACGGTTTGCAACTAACGGATATCGGTAAGCGAATTGTATGGAGATCTATGGTGTCTGTGTGTTCCTATAAATATTTTAACCGTCAGTAGACGGTCAAGATAACCATTCGTAATGTCATTTGGTCGTATTGCGTGTACAACGACGATTCGTTAAATATAGGAACCGGGCATAAAAGCCCCTCCGTTCCTTCACCTGCTCTGGGCCGAGGCCGCGGTGACCCATTGCGCTTAACGCGCAACCCCGGCTAGTGTTTTGAATTTAAAACGGGATTCGTATTTCGGAACGTAATCTAAAAGTGAAGTTTAGGTACCCGACTTTATGTGTCTAAGTGTTGTGAAACAGGCCCTTAGTGTAACCGAGAAACGTGTGTTTTGTGGTGCTCGTAGGCGATAGGACTAGCCGCTTATGCTATAAGAAAGTCACCGTTTGCTTGCTAATGTTGACAAGTTGGCTTTGTGATAGCGGAGCAAAGAGGTTATACTCGAAACGGTACAAAAATACCTACCTACATAATAGTTGCCTAATCGTACCAGACTGGCACTGTTGTCCACTTACGTTACCAATACAAGAAAACGACACAAAATGTTTTGTTTTTATTTGCCTCATCAGTAAGTTAGCTTTGTAAGTCGAGGAACAGCTTGAATCTCCTCGTGTCTAGTATAAGCCCTTGGCACCGGTTTAGGTGCGGAGCTCGGCAGGTAAGTAAGAGCGGACGTTTGTAAGAAATCGAAATTAAGAGAACAAAGTTCTAGAAGTATTGTTGGTAGATATGACAATAAATTTGCTAACACTCGTTTTTTATATCATAATAAAATTGATTAAGAAGGCTTTTGCGATCGATTTCAATTAAAATATTTAGTGCGGTGTAACTGCAATTCAACAGTTAGTTCAATATTTGAACTGTTCTGGCGTGGCGTGTGGTTCAGTGAACGGGATGCATAATCTGTGTGCACTGCAGGATCAAAAGACACTGTACAGTTAATACTAGTCACTTAATATTTTAACACCTCATCGAACTTATCCTCCACAGTCTTATTTAGTATAGCAGCCTTAAGCACATTACTTTCGTGATCTCAGATACTCTAACTTTTTAATTTATTTATATTTGCGCAATATTACTTTACTTTATTTAGTCCAGTTTAGATATTGTGATTTGTTTTAAGGATGCATTCACAGTAAAGGTTGGAAGCGACGGGAACACATTAGCTTTCGGTGCTGTTTATAGGCGAGTGACGTATGTATCGTTGTGTGATAGGAGCGATGAGACTGACCAAGTGTGGCTGGACCCTTATTTCACTAGCTATGTTCCAAATTGATTTTTAATAAACATTATTAAAAATATTATTTTACTCTATTTGGTCATGCTTTAAATATATTTACAATTAGACTATGATATTATTTATTATATTTTGCAGCTACAATGCAGCTATTTTAAGATAATAATATTACATGTCTACATATTCATAGTAGGTAGAGAGCGACTATTCGCACAATTGTTTAATGTAATCATAAATTAAGCAAGATTCAGACATTTTAACTTTTAGTAGCGGTATTCATTATTCAATAGATGTTAGTATATATATGTCATAGTCCAGACGATGCATGTAAAGCGTCGAACCCGCCGTTACATAATTTATGTTGGTATAATTGTCGAAAACAATACACGTGTAGAATCCGTTCAAAATTTCTGTGTGTATATTGTTCTGGTGAAATAAATAAATTAAATTATTATTATCATAATCAACTGCTTTTATTTTCGTAATGTGATGTTATTTGTACCTTACTAAACGCTGTTATGGATATAATATTAAAATAATAAAAAAATAAGTTTTGTTTGTATTAGCTTTGATTTCTTTCTAATGCGGGGCAAGTCTATATCATTTTAAGCACTACAGTTCTCAACAATTTAAGATTTTATAACTAAAGCCATTCCCGCAAAACTCATCCATTCGTTATTCTTAAACTAGAGAAAACAATTACCTCATTTAAATGATACACAAGGACCATTTCGAGGTCTTTGATTTATTTTGCTTTTTTAAAGAATAAACGCGATAGTTTATCAAGCATAATGTGCATCTGAAGGTTACCTAAATATGTCTGATCTGAATGAAATTTAGCTAAGAGGTAGAGAAAATAAGTAAAATTGAGCTAGAATACTCAGAATTTAAATAATTTGTCGTCTTTTCTTCAATAATTTTCGTGTCATGGCCGAACAATTTTCTAACTTAATTTAGAACTCGCAGAGATATATTTGCATATTACATTGAAGTCAAATTACGATGGGAAAGTTAAAAAGGAAAGTCCCACTTGTTATCAAGTGGACTAGAAAAGAGAGTTGACGAGATATGGTAATTTTGAAAGAAGTCTTGGTGCAGACACAGGTCCAAATGGATCTCCCTGAAAGTAATTATGACGGCACCCATGTGTCGAAAAGTAGTTAATACCTGTTTAAATAATATCATTTGATAAATTTACAAAAAACTTGCTTCGTGATGCCAATTCTATAAAATCAGGAAATTATTTTTGTTCAACAGTGTGTCTTAAATAAAAAACGGTGGTTGATAAAAATGATCTTATATTGATTTTCAATGATTTACAACAATGATTGTATCCAAAAACGCTACTAACTAGGTACTTAAGTTTAAATTAAATTATCACTGTTCGTTTCTTAATCACGTTTAAGTGAGATTCGATACAGTATTAGTACATTAATACACTAACAGCCGCAGTAATAGTTCCTACAGATAATAATACAATTGTTTAGTAATATAATATTATTATTAATAAAAATCGAATGGTTTCTGCTCGGCTTCCTGTAACTGCGGCTACAATAAATATGAAAGACTAAATCGTAACAATTCAATTCTTGTGTTACAAGCAGGCTCAAGTAAATAAAATAAGTGTCAGCTTGTACACCAAGTAGATAATGATACCCGTCAAATATCTAATGTTCTGTGCTCAGTCTAAAGTCTCACCGAATTCTAATTGTATCGTGAATCGTAGCATGTGATTGAAGAGTACAAAACTATCTATAAACACAATTCAGCTAATCTATTTACAAGTTTAACAACATCGAAATATCAGGTGACATCTAAACATTGAACATATGTAGGTACACCTTGAAACTTGCACTCACCCGGGGGTAAGTGCAGGTTGCGGTGTGGGTACATCGACCTAACTCTGTCGAGCTACGGATACGTAAGTACTAGACAATCAAATTGTTTAGATAAATAGTGACCAAAATACTTCTAATAATTCGCATGTACGTTTATAATGTTCCTAGGATTAAGTACAGAATTTATCCATGTGTCTCGAATGTTCAGCGTGTGGTCGTTTGGGAGTAGCTCGTCAATAGCTCGTCAGGTAGGCGTGGCGTGTCTGCCATGCACCGGGGCACATGTCAGCGTTCGAGAGGTGGGTGGGGCGGCAGAGGCACTACCACACTTTGCATTTGTTGATGGGGTTCATCGGTGATCCGGCGGGGCATTTGAAGTCCTGGGCGAACTCTTCCATGTTGGAGAAGGGGCCGACGACACGGAAACGTCCGGGCGCGTGGAATCCTGTCGTGATGCGCAGCTTGATCGCTTCGTTCCGGTATACTGAACACCAGGTGTTGGCCGCACTCAGCCAGAACAGCTGCAAGCAAGCAATACTTATCTAACTGGTGTTGCGGTGCACGATATCCGTGACTGGCTTTAGGTAACAATGTTACAATTAATTAAGCAAAAGTATTTTGAAGATTGATTTAAGGTTGCACGTAATTTGTAACGGTGACGTCACTCAGCGGGAACAAGTTGTTATATTTATTGCATTACACGTTGCAATTTGTTGTTAACAGTCTGTTACCTGTTTGGGAGTGTATTTTTCAAGTCCGGGTAGACGCGCCTCGTCTCCGTGTCGGTGGGTCCAGGCCTGGTACGCGTAGTAAGCTTCCTTGATACCGCCATTGTCTGCAATGTTCTCGCCTTGGGTGTTCACTCCGTTCAACTAAAACAATCCAGGATGGTTTGAGTTACATTCATGAACTTTAATCTTAAAAGATAAATAAATAATTTTATACATTATTTATAGGAATACGTTTACGACAGATCGTAAATTAATTTATGGGAAAACATTTATAATACTAGTTTTATCACGTTACTATTGTTGTAACATTAACATTAGAATCGTCATATAACTGGGCACCTGGGTAACTACTTTATAGTACCTATACTAGGTATCTATTGTATAAGTATAGATACTTCAACTGATTATTTTACCTTGAGTCCTACTTCAGCCACGGTGTAGTTGGAATACTGGTCAATGATGCACCTGGCCTTCTCTAGGTATTTCTGCTTAGTCATTTCTTGCCACCAGTCCACCAAGTTGCCATTCCTGTCAAATTGACGGCCCTGAAAGATGTAGCGAGGTTAGTCTGTGAAATGTAGATAATGAGAAATGCAAAAGTATACACCAATATAACATTGGTGTGAGAATTGAAAACAAAATCAATCTGAGTCCAGTTGTTTTAAGGATTGTTCAAGCGGAAATATAACATAGGTTAAATAGTTAAATAGTAGCGCGGATACAGTCAATGTTCTGAAAGAAATAAAACAATCCATTTAAGAATTTTAGCTAAATACTGTCTAGGTAATTGGTGTGATAAGTCTTAACACTTGCCTGATCGTCGAAACCGTGGGTGATCTCATGGCCGATGACGAAACCAATAGCGCCGTAGTTCATGTAGGCGGGACGTTTAGCTGAGAAGAACGCGCCTTGCAAGATACCGGCAGGGAACTCTGTGGAATTGATATAGTAGTTTTTACTTTCTACGTTTTTCTTAGGGTATTTTTTTAGTACCGACTTTTTTATATTCAGATTCTTATTATTTAATATAACCAGTTTGTAAGGAATATTTTTTTTAGTTATGGAGAGCCGAACCTCAGTACGAATGGGTCAGCTTTACCGGAGTGATACCACAATCTCACAGAAAGAAACCTGCGTGAAACAACCACGGCGTTGTGTTTCACCGTTTGAGTGAGGTTACTGGGGGACCAATATCCCCTCCCCCAATCCATTCCGGATCCTTGAATACCCGAAACCCTTATCCCGAAAAGATCCCGATTGCTAACCATCAGGCAATCCGTCTGCTAGTTTTCCGACCTACGCCATAAAAAAATTTAGGTCTTTTGCTTTGTATCTTACAAACTAAATGGTTACTTACGAATACTGTTTTCAATGGATGAGTAGAAAGCATTGACGATGGCGGGACGGCCGTGGGTCACCCAGTCGGTCTTGTTGACTGGCTCCCGCAGCTTGCCAAACAAGTACTCAGTGCCGAACAGTGTCAAGTTCAGTACGGACTCCATCAGTTTATCCGAGGACATTTCCAACTAAACAATGTTGATAAGAATTAATTTTCAGGTAGGTATAGCTTAACACGCCTGTATTTTATAATACATATTCGAAATGGTTTTTTCAATTCACTTGTTGAATTATGCAATTTAAAACAACAAGGAAACTACGTTGTTATTTGGTTAAGGTGGTTATGAAATACCGTGTGTGAATAACCATTATGTATGTATTATTTAGGTATTATAAATTCGTAATGGTTAACGTCTTCACTTATTGGGTCCTTTATTGGTCTTTTTAACTAGGAATTTACTAGGGATATATTTACTTAAGTAATTTGAAAGATAACTCACTCCATCATAAAATTTAGCCAGTTTGTCGTTGTCCAACATCTCGCTGGGGTAGGCAATGTGCGAGGCCATGGAATCAGCTTTCTCCAAAGCAGCCTGACGGGTCTTCTCGTCCATCCAGTCTACTTCGTTCAGGGTCTTACGGAACTGTTGCCTGTGGGATACACGTTATGTCTCAAATTATAGGCAATTTACACTGATATATGTATAAACATAAAATTAGTGATGGGTTGTAATCAGATCAAATATCAACTCAAACCTTAATCTGACTGTATGTTTGTATAATCGTTATTAGTATTTGTCGTGTCTGTAAGTAAATACCTGATGTCGTTCACCATTTCCAAAGCATTAGCTTTTGAGTTCTCGTTGAAGTATTTCCTGATGTAGAGGGCGCCCACAGCGATAGACATACTGCAATTAAATATTCTCATGTCAATTATTATTATTTGTAGACAGGCAGGCAGTTGAAACAACTGATAATGCCCGCATCCTGTTAATTTCCACTAGTTCATTTCTTGCAGTTGAGTAAATATTTATCCAGTCGATTTTTAAATTGGTTCAAATTTAGGGCTGAAACCACATTTTCCGGGAGCTTGTTCCACGCTGCAACTACTCTATTACTGAGAAAGTGTCTGTGAGGATTGTTATGTGATCTGTTAGTGCTAAGTTTTAAGTGATGGCCTCTAAGGTGGATGTTTTCGTTGCGTGTGAGCAGCTGATCGAAGTCCTTTAGATTGTAAAGTCCAGTCAAAATTTTGTATGTTTCAATTAGGTCTCCACGGTCCCTGCGATCCTTTAAAGATGGGATATTCAAAATTTTTAAGCGGTCTTCAAAAGATTTTTCTTTCAATAAAGTAAAGATAAATCACCATCAATAGTTAAGTTCAAAATAGTTTTATAGAAAAGCTGAAGTTAAATTATAGCATTTCCTTTGAATAAGTCGGAGAATACTAAATAATTTAGTATTTTTGAAAATAAAATAAAATAAAATTATATACTAGTTATTTGCTGCATTAAGATTAGTGATATCAATATTAGGTATTCGTATAAGTCTTTTACAAAAAAAAAAAAATAGATAAATTCTTTAAGGCTGAGATAGTTCAAACAGTAGCCTAGGTTCGTTATTCAAATCGAACAATGGTCAGTTCGGATCGTGGCGTGCAACGACCATTGTATGTTCTTTCGACCTTCTCCTTTGCGAAATAACAAGCGTGATATTTACCTATAGGTATTGTTATTTTTCTAAATCGTTTACTGAAACATATTTTGTCGCTTCTAATCAGTACAAGTTAAGGTGACACGTGTAGGCGCACACTTCAGTAATACGTACGATACTTTTTGCTTTTTAATATAAATATAAAATTAACTACTTCATATGTGTGTCATTACAATACAATGTCAAGTCCACGTGTCGACGTAAAGTTAGATTGCATTAGGTATTAACTCTGCAATGAAATGGGATAGGAAGGCTCGATGGTCCCGAGAGAGTGAGAACCAGTTGCTATGCAAAACAAATCATAGACGCTAACAAAACCACGTTAAGAACAAAACAGTCAATGTAATAAAAATCATCATGTGACTTCTGTTGCCTAGGGTAAAGTGAGAGGGAGTGTCAGACTCTTACTGACTAAAAACCTCCAGGCAGAGGCGCGGTACCTTATTGCGCTTGCCTTGCAACCTCACTTAATTTATCCAAAAGTTGAGGTTAACGTAAACAAATGGCACAAATTCTAGTTCGGGTAAACTAGAATTTGTGCCATTTGTTTAGTAAGGATACTGGTTCGTCTGTTGTCCGGCTCAGCAGCAAATTCCATAGAGTTTAATATACTATGGCTATCTGCCGTACTCAGAGCACTCAGAAACATTTAATGATAACTTAATTTACTTTTTAAAGATTTCGTTCCGTGAACAATTTAAGAGTTAAGCAAATGATCTTAAACGAACGTTATTATTATTGTCATTAACGAGTATCAATATTATTGCCATTTTTTAAGAGACGATAACTTAGAATTTAAAGTCAAAATCAATATTTTTCTGTTTTACCCATAAGACATTGTGTAGGTAAATATTGATTATACCTACATATTCAGGGCATTTGTTTAGGTAAGTCGTCACTAGATTTCTATCACCGACTTTATTATTGCCACCTTTCTATGATTTTTATGAGAAGCATTACATAAAAATGTATTAGAAGAATCATACCAACTGAACTCGGCTCAAAATGTTCCCAGCGTCCCAACTAACACAACGCTATTAATTGAATTAGCCAATGACGCGTACTTTCCATAAAAGGCGATAAGGTTGGCGTTAAAATGGTTGTTTGCCAACAATTGGCAACAATTCTCGTTTTGTTCAATGTTTTGTAGACAGAGCGAGTTTTTCAAGCGTTTACGAGATCATTATTTTATTTCGTGATTATCAGAACAATTAGATTTAGTTTGTGAAGTATAAGGCAAAATAATGCTATCGTTTGATCTTGCGCAGTGACTGGGTTGTCGGCTGTGGCAATACCTGTCACCGTTTTGTGAAGTACGGAACAAATATTAGTATCCGGTTTGAGCACGGTGTACTGTTTGTATATGCAAGAGCCAAATAATATTTCAGTTGTTTTAAAAACTTATGCGCAATTAAGATATGGCTAAAAAACTAATTTAAAGTCTCATGTACCTAATAGTATTAAATAAGGGGAAAAGAAAAAGTAGCTGCTAACTAAATATATAGGTACATATATCGAAAAGGTAGCAAACATTAATAAAAAATAGTTTAGGACTTTTTGTATCATGTTTCGTGAGACAATTTTTGCAATGCTGCTTTTGTTAATGAGCCCCTGGCGTGGCTCGAAACCAGTCGAGTTCTTGGTCAGTGTAATTAAACATTCAAACAGTAAGTAAAATAATTAATTAGTAGGTACTTGCCTGACGCTAGTGGTGTCAGCACACTCCTTCCATCGGCTTTCCCTCTCAGTCTTCCCCGAGAGAGCGGTTACGTAAGCCAGTTGACGTCTACGAAGGTTGTCAGTCAGGTAGGATACCGACGCACCAGCCACTCGCCACATCACATAGTTCGCTTGCACACGCTTCGGCGTAGTTTCCAAAAGAAGCTATAGATAAAAATAAAAAATATAAATTAACTAGCTGATCCAGCAAATACCGTATCGCTTCAAAATTAACCAATATTTTCAGACGTAGACAAAATCAAAATTAGCCAAATCAGTCCAGTTGTTCCTGAGTTGTAGCGGGTCTAACGAACGGAAATCCATTTTTATATAGAATATGTACAATATATAAGTAGTTATAGTAATAGAGGATAATATAGATAGTTAAATTAAGAACCAAAGTAGATCTTGATCTTGATCTTGCTTTAACCAACTCATATTGCAAAAGTAGTCAAGACTTGTTGACGATCAAAATTGTGCTTATTAAGCCAAATTCTAAAGAAAACAAAACGTCGATTGTATTATTATTAATTCTTTAAACGCGATAACGTTCACTTATAAATGTGTAGCTAATAAAAATATTCTCATTGGTTTCAACTTCGTTCCCAACAGCACAATTAGCGTAACAGCATAACTCGATCTCTGGGGTAGTTGACCCAAGGAAAAGAGGTTTCTCGTCTAGGCAACGCCACAGGATGTTATCAACGATACTAGTCAACTAGCCATTTATAATGAAACAAGGTTTTCACAAAGAAACTCGCTTATTTTGTATCCATTCCCGATCTATCATACTATATCGGTATCGTCCGACGTAAAGCAGATCTGAGAAAATCTTATTAAGAGATCTTACTTAGAACATTTTTTTTATATTTCTTTAATTACAAATAGTCCTGGTTATCAAGACAAGCAGGTGTCTACAGTCTACTTACATTTTGAGATGCGTCCATTATATTTCTATAAATAAAACCTTTTAAAGCTTGTCCATGGACGGCAACGTCCAAGTTTTTCTACTAGGTCGCAAATGATTGGCATATTTCTATTGTTAAGGAAGTTAAAAATAACTTTTTATAATATAAACGTTTTATTCTTTGCCCTCTCTTGTTTTTTTTTTTTCATTTATTGCTGTGTTATCTTTCTGTTAACACTTAAAAGTCCTATCTTTATATGTATATATATATATATTCTTTTCTGATTGCTTGAAAAAGCATGTGATATCAGAAACGGCCCTAACGATTTCGCTGAAAATTGATATACGTGGTTTTCGGTGAGGTCCGCTAGTTACATAAAAAAGTTAACAAAAATGAACTGTATAGAATAGATACAAACCTCTAAATCGGAAATGTATTTGGGAACGCTGACGATGGCAACTTCATCTTCTCCAACCTTGACGTGAGGAGCGAGCAGGCGGTTGATGTATTCCAGCCAAGGGATCCTGCGAGGATGATGTCATTGGTAATTTGCATCCAACAGTGTGGTAAGTACCCACTAGTACATAGGTCAACTTAAATTAATACGAAATAAAATTTACAATAGTAAAGTAGAAAAGTTATTAAAGATCAATGTGCTGCATTATTAGATTATTTTACCCTGCTGCAAATATGCTCAATATATTTTAAAAGTCCCGAATATCACTAACGAACGCAAAATATTTTACTAAACTTAAAATCTAATCGAAGGATTATAACTTTGTAATAAAGTTGTAATATCGAACAATGCTTTTCCTTGCATGGCCTGGGTCATAGGTATCGACCAGGTACAGTGAACACCTAAATTGTTTAAAAAGTAGCAATCTAGAAAGAAAGTAGGCGAATGTTTTGAACCACTACAACCAGGTCAGGTCATGGCTAAGCGTGTACTTAATATGACCGTACAGCCGCGATCAGAAAACGTTGTACGTAAGTAAATTGAAGTGATCAACTATGTTTGATTTCAAACCACGTATTGTTTTAGATCAACTGTCGTGTTGAGCAAATACTGCAATAGTTCGGTAACTTCAGCGACTCCGCTAACGCAATAGATGAGACAAAGACATTGTTCTACCTTTCTCTTACCAAACTATGCTATGTTATGTCAGCAGTGGTCTACGGGTGTCGGGTATTTACTATAGGTATAAGTTTCATGTTCAATACATATCCTAGTTTGTGTAGACATACGAAGTTTGCCAAGCTAAGTTAAGATCTCGGATCGTGCAAAATACGAGTATCAACTCTCAAATCAACGTTTTCACATTTTTCTGAATATTTACTTGAAAAAGAAATGAAATGGTAATAGTTTGAATATAGGAACACATGTGATATAGGTACTGAAAACATACTTAGGGAACTTCTCAGAAAGTTCAGCAATGGTCATCGGGTTGTAAAGGCTGGTGGCATTACGACGCTTTTCCAATGGCAAGGAAATCTGTAAGAAAATTATATTTTTGTAGTTTTCTGCAGATTTTGAATGATAAAATACTCCACAATATAATAAAAGATAAATTCCGTGCTAAGAATGCAAACGTGCGCTTAATTGATCAATGGTGTTATGAAAGAAACGTGAAGTTCGACGTACTGTATCTATACCTACATAGCCATTTAGGTACTTACGTTGGCAAGTTTCATTTCGAATTGCAGTGATTCTTTAAGTTCAGTCTCAGCCCGCGGGCGCTCAGCTCCCAGCAACACTGCGATGTCAACCATGTAATCGTAGTAGGCCTGTACGAGCTTGTCGCTAAATCCGCGGTTCAGGTACTCTCTGCTCAGACCTAGAGACGCCTGGTCCAGCTGTCAGAAAACATACACTTAGCAAGTCATTCATTTAACATTACACATAAAACGTTCGCATCATAATAACAAAAACATTCGCTGAGTAAATATCAATTCGCAGTGTACATAGCTGTCAGTCTTAGGTAACTCTTCGAGCGACCACGTTACAATATTTATGTGGTCACACGTAACGAACACCTAAAAAAATGCGCCTACTTCTTGTTACAAGGTCGGCCGACCGGATCAATATAATCCATAAGAAATTGCTCAGAAGCAGCTACGTTATTATTATTCTTACATCGATGATGCGCTTCGTGGAGTTCTTGACGTCGACGCTGATGGAGAAGTCAAGGAAATAATCCACGGAGTAGCCGGCGGACCTGAAGTTGTACACAGACTTTTCCCAGGTGAAGGATTTTTCGTCCCAGTTGTTGCCGTCGAGCACGGGCCAGCCGCCGAGCCTCTTTAGCATGTCAAGCAGGGGTTGAACTCCTCGGGACTCGATGGCAGCTAGTAAATATAGCAATAATAGGAACATTTAAACAACAGTTCAAAATACTACATGAAAAACTGAGTTAGTATTTAAAAGTTTGTATCATTGAATGACAAAATTAATGAAAGTAAAAAACAGCCAAGTGCATTATTGACCAGTGAACGGGCCAGCACGCTTCAGTAGAAAACTGTATTAACTTTGTATGCGTCGTGTGCCTCGCACTCAAAACCTTTTGCTATCCTTGTTGGGTGTTGCCATTCCGTCGTCCAGTTTCGTTCCAGCTCGATCATTCATCACTTACGTCACTGTGATTGTGTAAATAACGGAAGCAACATCATTTAGTTCACTTTCACCCACATTTAATTCCACAACAGGTTTAAGCAACAGTTAAATAATAAATTGTCGTAATTAAGCTCATTATATCCTGCGCTGGGTTCGGATAGACACGCGATGTCACGGTATTGCGTAGAATTGGGTATCTTAACTTTGTTAAACCGCTTTATAAATCAAAGTTATTCAGACTCTAATATTTTCGGAAACAAAATTGTTGGATACCTATTTTGTAATTGCTTATTTTTTATAACTGTTTTACGAATGTCTATCTTTCTACCTCAGTGAATAATAATGTATTTCGAAATGCATTAAACCTCGTAATATGCAGATGGTTCTAATGGTCCGACGAGAAAATAAATTCATAAAAGTTTTAAGCTTTTATAATTGAAAAATTCTTTGTTTTAAACTAGTTGAGAAGCATTATATTCAAAATGTAATAACAATCGAGCAACTCTCCGACTGTTTACGGAGAGTGAATTAAGTTTGTTTACTTTGGCTTCCAATTTGCGGTTATCTTGTTGGGGCTCAAAGTTTGTTGTCTTTATGCGAAAATAGTTTGTAAAATTTATCTAATAGCAATTTAATACGTACAAACTCACGGAAGTTTTAAATTAAAATTAAATAATGGGTTCCTCTCTAGTCCTGTTGTGTGAGTAATGAAACTCGTGTCGTGTGGTAGGATGGTCGTGTCGTGAAATATAATTAAAAGTTGAGTGCACCTGCCACCACTCTATTGTCTCCTGGTACTTCGTCGGAGAATTAATGTTGCGAAACCTGCGAGCTTGCTTCGCGTATAGGTACGATCGACGATACATAAAATGAAATATCATAATTTAATATTTCTTAAGTGCGTCTGTGCCTATTTTCATTACTTCATTAATTATTGTGTATCTACATAATATAGTATTTATTTATATTTATTTGGCCATTTTCTTTGCTATTTTGTTAATTAACTGTTATTATCTTCACTCATTCATTCTCTCTTATTCGCTGACTTTAAAAAACCGGCAACACTCATACGATACACTCCAGTAAGTTTGTATTAAAACGTAATAAATAATGTAACATATTATTATATCATTGGATTGTATCGCAATGTAAAATATAAGTAGTAAAGTAACAGTGCAGTTACAGTTAGAACAATCATCAGATATTAATGTTTCATTGTTTCAATGCAGGAGAGCGGACTGCTCTCACGCAAACATTGCCTCAGGTTCTAATATTATGTGCACACTACTAAATTGAATAGCCTATAGGAATATTATACATGTATTCCTACATTATTCTATATTTAATATTTCAGACTTACTTCGGTTCATGCAGGCCTGGTACAGAGTTTTGGCAAGGACGAATGGTCTGGGCTCGTTCTCCACAATAGGTTCGTCCAGTAGCGCACGAATCTGTTCTTGAAGCTGATCAGTGATGAGCGAGAACGTGTTCACTGAGGTCTTGTCATCAGGTATGCGAGTGTTCTTTACAAAAGAGCCGCAAGCAAAGTCGTAGAAGTCATCACAAGGGTCCACCTTCTCATCCATGTTCAGCAGCAGTTTAGAGGCTACAAAAAGGGAACACCGTCATTTGCATTGCCTATTGAGTTACATGGCCATATCATGAGCTACCCACCATACACTATACAATACAATAAAGTTACAACAACGCTTTTCTCTTACATTGTTGTGGGTCATGCGCACTTCTGACCTTGGGACACCAATTTATTTGTAACACGAATTTGTAATGGATTACAAAATAATAAATAACTTTGTTACATTTACAGCTAACATGAATGTAAAACGGGATTTCTTTTTTTTCTACCTAAAATATGTATGACAACGGAATATAAGGTACCTACTTTTGAAAGATTTTGGTACTACTCATGCCTATTTACATTATAAATATACCTAAAATTATATGTACATTACGATACAAAAAAGTATATTTACCTGTGTGAATGCATCCCGGGGAGGTGCACACCTTCTTATCTGCTGCAGATCCAACAGCAACAACTGATGGCGGCATGGACGAAGAAATTCTCAGTTCACTAGTCTGGGGTATGTCTAAAACGCAAATAAAACATGCTTCGTAAAAGGGCGATGGGAACACAAAGGATAATCTAATAAAGCTTCTTTAAACAGGTGAGACATACAACAGGACAATACGGGGTGCAAGCTTGGTAACATCAAATTGATACAAAGAAGGAAGGAACACGACAAAACTCCACGTAGGTATGTACATTACAAAGTCATGCAAGACTTAATAAAAATCAAAACATAGAATCCTCGCTTTCATATATTTTGCTACAAAGTAGTTAAGATGTAGGAGTAGTCAATGTGGTTATAGCAAACGAGTCACTTTGGTCATAATAAATTCGATACAAGCTATAAAACTGATGTTCGTTCCCTCATAACTTTGAAATGTAAGTTTCCGATATATAAACTATAAGTTTATTGTTCGATAGTGTTGCAAATTATAGAAAATTACTACTATTTCCTTCTGACCTGGTCTGGTCTGGCGCTAATTATATACGGGGATCATTTATTTCCTTCGAATTCTTATAAAATATGCACGTTCTCGGTTGTTAAATGTCTATCACGTTGCATCGGTCTCACATCGTTTATTCCATTTAACATGCATAACATTTGCCTTTCAAGTTGAATGAGGTGTAGTGGTAATTGCCTTTGCTATTATATAGCCCTATAACTGGCTCTTACAGTATTTTCTCCTTATAAATTCTTATTACTTTTTACAGTTACAATGTTTCTTACACTTGGTGTTAACCTTTTAACCTATTTAGCATCAACTCAAGTTAAGAATATCGATAGAAAATAAATGGTGATTGGTCAAATTGCCTCACCTATGGTATTTGACAACCAACCAAAGCCAAAGAAAAAACATTCAAATGAAGAATAAAATAGGAAATCCGATGTAAAATTACGCAAATCCTCAGCACGTTGCTTCATACATAAACACCGTGGTGTTCCTACGACACTTTGTGCCATAATTAACTAAGTGAACGGATTGCCGGTTGCGCTAATCTCTTGCATCCGATAATCTCACAACCGTTTTGTCTAATCTACCTACTATTTCATATCTTCGTCATAATTACACGAGCCCGCCCACAATTTCTGTTTATAGAATCTGTCTTAATATCTCTGATTTTCTTTCGAAATCCCTAGAGGGCGATGTCAGGTAAAGCTGCATATCTATCAATCTATTGTTATATTTATTATACACGGAAATCCTCCTAATCAGATGAACTGAGCCTCCCAATGGTAACTCCATTGTTTGGCTCGTTCTCCAAAAATAAATATATTGTAAATATTGCAAATACTGTTGCAAAATAAAACCTTTTTTAAGAACTGCACGCACATTTTTATGCGTCAAATGTAACACGCCTTTTCAATATGGTTGTTGGTATTGACCGAATTTCGTGTTTTGAACTTGGCCTCGTAATAAAAGCTGCGTACTTTCCTTATATTTAAAATCCAAAATGTTCAAGGACCTTCGTATTGAGTGACTTTGAAGAGAATATCCATGAAATGATTGCTTCATTGTGCAATGGCTACGCGCGTAATGGTTTTCTAAATTACATACGGCTCATAGATAATTGTATGATCACGGTCCGTAAGAAAACTTTAATTTTATACTGAGGATCCTTGGTAGTTTGTCATTGTCTTTGGTATGATAAAATAAGTGTTGGTTTTGATTGAGACTTCTTCAATTTTACTTGTACTTGCTTTTTGGAGGTAATCGTCAAGAACCAGGATCGATTTTTTAAATCCGTTTTAAACAAGATGGTTTCTTTGCATATGATCCACATAATAAAACTGTAGATACCTGAATTCTGTCTCACTGAATGACACTGCGCATCATATATATATATTTATGTTGATGTGGAACCCTGATTAGGACAAGCTAAGAAAAAAGAAAATATTTAAGCAATAAATTTTACGCGTCGAGAATAAAGTAAATCATTCCGTCGAGAAAAACTTTGCTAGATCAATATTTGCAATAACGAGTTTCTTTTGTTGATCTTTCTCAATTCAACTTACCCAATTTGGTGTGAAAACTGACCTCTGTATTGTAATATTGTTATTATATATTGTAATATCGGCGACACGAGTGCGTGCACCCAAGCGTAACCTGGGTTGCGATACACAACGTGATCTAGCATTTGGCAACCCTCACCCGGTTGAGAGCATTTTCCACCGCTCTCTTGCGATACAGCACATTTTTTTTATAAAGTCGCTGCAAGATTTCTAAAAGTGTCCTCAAGATCCTATGCGGCGATGTGCAAACCTAGTCACGTCGTTTCCCTGGTCGTTTCCTTATTTCCGCATCGTTGACAAGCATGCGGCGTAGAGCCGACACCAGTGCGTTACATTTGTCGCCATCACTTATTCCGACCATCAGCGGGATAACAAGTTTAACTCAGTTTATATCGTGACCTGCCCTCTTTTATCTAATTTTGAATGACAATGAAATTAAGCTTCTTATTTATACCACACGGTACTAAGTGCGTAGTACCGTAAATTTTATTAACGTTGTTTTTCCGTTTCTAATATAATGTGGCCATCTTCTTTGTTTAATTGCCTGTTGTTGAATGATATATTGTTAGTCTATATATAAATCGAGGTTGTCGATTTTTGTAGTGCCCGATGCCCCTTAAATACGTAACAAAAACATTCGATAACGACTTTGTTTTACTGAATAAAAGTGTAAATATTTTAAAATGTATAATATAAGAAGTTCATAGAAAAAACACGCCGTAAGATAGAGATAGCTGTTCCGTTTCATCTCATGCCGGAAATTTGAGTGATCACACCGAGGAACGGGCGTAGGTAGGAGTACACTTTCGATATCTACATTAAATGGGGTTTGCGATAGTATCGTTTGACAATTGAAATTATTTCAATACGTATCTACCTCAGCCGCTTGCATTAAATTGATATTTGCAACTTCAGTAGTTGGAGGAAATGAAGGCGTCGCTTGCATTCGATTAGTTTTCCTCAACTAAAGTAGTTTGTAGATTCTATCGTTACCTTGATGAAAATTTTGCTTCTCAATAAAGTTTGAATGCGCAAGAATGGCCTTCAGCCACAACCTGTGACCATATTGGAAGGAACAAAGGAACTGAATCATTCGTCAAATTTTCTCTAATTACTCATTCTGTTGCCTACTTAAACACATTTTATGAATGCAAATTCATTTCAAATGTTGTGTTAAACATAAAAATTACTGAATGAATGACACGCCAGAAATACACTTAAACACTCATCTCTTTGGGAATTCGTGTAAAAACTAAGTCATAGATGGATAGGTCTACTTTACTTAATTTAGGCAAAAAATCATCAATTAATCAATCAAAATATTTTTGTCTTTGTAATACCTACTATATACTTATTTTGGAAGGTATGTTTACGTGAATGTCGACAGGGTATTTAATTTCTATAAAATATGCATTCTAGATCATTTTTTTTTGTTCGTGGATATATTCATCAGTATATAATATTATAGTATATCATATTACTTATGTGCATATCCATGAGTTTTGAAGAATGTAATTAAACAAATATTTCCTATACCTATGTTATTCTATTCACGGTAATGTACCAACGACTTTTTGCTATAAAATTACACATCTAACACAAACCGCAGATCATTAAGCTGTAAAAAACCACATCAAAAAAAAGGATCATCACATTTTTGTAGCAAAATATAAAATTAACGAGAATGATTTGCATGAAAATAATATTAAGCAATTATATTAATTACTTTGGTCTAAAAATAACTTTAAAACACAAAATTAATGAAATTGTGATTCGATACTAATCTCGTAATTACAAATGTTACTTTTTTATCTCTAATAACTTGGACGTTCTGTTCCTTATATTGGAAAATGAATGATAAATAGGTAATACAAGCTAAATGCTAACATTTAGGGACAATTTATATTATTAAGTATGTGAATTGTCTTAAATGTTGATCTGTAGGTAGGGAACGATCTCACCGCTTCTCTGTTGTCTTCTCATCGTTGTGTTCAGTTAGTTGTGACTCACTTACCGTTGATATCAGTGGAGGACCGCACAAGGAGGGTGGCGATAAACGCGGCAAAGAAAGCGATGGCCAGAATGGACATCACCACCGCTGCCAGCATCAGTCGCTTCTCCATCTTGGTCCTCTGACCCCAAAACGACGGCCTGAGTGAAATACATGACCATTAACATCATTAACGCTACTAAAATACAATAAAATAAAAATAAATATGCATCTGTGTACCTAAATTAAACTGTGTTATCGTTTGTGCTGTATGTCTGTAAGGTTAGGTACATGAATAAAAAAATAATGTAATAAAACTTATATAGCTAACTAATATTATAAATGCGAAAGTAACTCTGTCTGTCTGTCTGTCTGTCTTTCTGTCTGTCTGTCTGTCTGTCTTTTCTTCACGCCTAAACTACTGAGCCGATTTCTGTGAAATTTGGTACAGACATAGTTTGGAACTCGAGAAAGGACATAGGATAGTTTTTATTCCAAAAATCTGCAGGAAGTAACTTTTCCACGTGAACAAAGTCGCGGGCAAAAGCTAGTATAGTATATATATGTATATGTTTTTTCATATGTTTGGTTTAACCAAAACATGAAGCATTTTTTTTGCTTGCGTACGCCATTTTTGGTCACGACTCCACAAAATTAAGATTCGAATAGATTATATCAAAATCTATATGAAATCACTTCTTTTATAAAAAATGGTGGATTACTATTTATGTCATAATGTATAAATAAGATAAACATGAATTTGTTTTTAATTCATTGTCATAAATGTTTGCTATATTTACGATTGTGAATGTCAGCTGTATCTATTATTGGTTAATTACATATTTAATTATATATACATAATATACACAACATATAATATGCTATCCAGTAAAATACACTTAATAATCGAAAAGAGTCCGATTCTTTTTTTTTTGTATCGGTTTGGATATTTCTCATGGAGACCCACTGTCCTCGGGGAAGGGTACTGAGATCTGACTCTCCTATCGGCCCACTCAAATTTGATGATTAAAACTCCCAAAAAATAAGCAAAAAAGTTACTTAGTTACTTTAAAAAAAGTTCATTCATAACCATTTTCTCAAAATATGGCCATAAATACCCTTAAATGTTTTTAAAACATTTTATTTTTCACAAATTATTTGAAGATTGCACATCTAACTGTGATCGCTGACTGTGGGTTCAGTGTAACTAATTTATTTGATCCATCGTTGTACTCTGAGAAGGCCACGATCAAGGCTGTTTAATATAATTAAACGTCGCTGTCTGCCTTCTTATAATCTTATAATAAGGAAATATAGCGTTTTGCCAATCTAAACTTAATAAGACTGAGCTATCATAACCTGGATATTGTATTACACTTTTATGACTGTTAATAGGAATTATGACAGGGTATAGAAATTAACAATTAAGGTATGTAGGTATTTAGTCTTTCGGTTGAATAAGGAAAAAATGTTAGACACCTTTCTACCATTTGTAATTTTGTCGTATAACCAAACATTACGTAGATAAAATGAAATAAATTTAAGAAAAATGAGGACGTTACGTCCCCACTCAGTATTATGTAATGTATTGTGACTATTTGATAAGCAGAGAAAAGAAAAATTAGGAGTCCAAAGTTCCAAATAATTGCCCTACGAACTACATTAAAAAATTCGCCATCCCAGTTACAAGTAACTAAGTTACACAGATCTAAAGACTTCTGGTAATATTTTTTATCAGTATGACAAATAATGACTTCATAAACACAATCTGAAAAATCACCTTGTACTCAACAAGCTCTCGATTCATGCAATTCTAATCCTTATTTTAGATAATCTAAACGTTTTAAAAAGATTTTATTGCTTAAATTAACCAAAGTCGTGTAAAAAATGGAAATAAAAAAATGAGAATGGTTGTTCTTTGAGGGAGAAAATTGCCTCCAAATTTTCAATTTGTTTTGGTAACCCAATTTTCGTGTAACCGTAATTTTCCTTGGTGCTAAACGAAAAGAAGTCGCTGGGGATCCCACTTGAGAACCTTTCTTGTGATCTTATGGGGATTTAAAGAAAACTCTTTTATAGTGTCGGTAGCAAAGAGGCTTTTAAATTTTCTTGAGAGAAACTAAGTTTTGTTTTTCTTGATTGACAAAAGACGTAAATTAAGTTTTTTTTTTTTGTAATAAAAGGAGTAGTTAATACAATGTATTTATGCGACGCCAATGTTGTCTACAGTCAAACTATCGAATACGAAAAAATTTTACTAGTGCTGAAAATAGACTTTCGGATACTAAACAAACCCGCAACAGTAGGAGAACGAGAAGTTGAAGAAGGACGGATAATAGTAAATTATTTTGGTATAATAAATTTATTCAAATGAATGAATTAAGAAAAGTTATAGATATCTACCAGTTTCAAGTCACAACGGGACTCTTATTCATGTGTATCGTAAGTAAGTCGTTATTTTGCAATAAATTTAATTTAAATCCTTGCCACTTAAGTGAATTAGCTAATAAGACAACTAGGAAATTGGTTTCAGATCAATAATGTATCCTTTAATAAATTGAAGAACATCAACGTCAGCGCCAGCTTACACGTGGTGTGTGCTACGCGCATAGCTCCACAACTGACTAAATGGAAAATCAAATTCATTCTCTTGATCAATAGATAGAAAATTGAATGTGCCGAGATTCAATTAGCTAGAGAAGGCAATATGGCGGTTGATGCAACCCTTACACTACACACCTTCAATCTATTACATGATCCAATTTGAAGTTAGCCAATATTGAAGCCATCGATGCACGCGTGTACCCTGTTTCAACAAGTTAACTCGGGAGTTTCAATCAAACTATGTTTACTTGTTTTTATACTTTTTTGCTTCGAGCCATCGCTGTTTTCACAAGCTCAATTGCGGTCACATTCGATTAGAAGAACTTGAGTGGTATACTACAAACGTGTGGGGAGTTTCTAATCCAATTATCTGACTTTGAAATTCAAACCTGTACTCTGAGACTGATTTCAACTAGCAAAGTGATTACAGGAAATTTCCCTAGGTAGAAACTGATTAATGTTGGCGAGGTGATAAAGCTACCACATTAGCTCACAGCACGTGTATACTCTATCTGGTTTCCAGTCCCATATCGACAAATTGTTGCTTACTGGTTTATTCGATTTTGAAGCTGATATTTTCGCAGTTTTAGTTTGCGTACGGTCTACAAAGCTCGCGCTCCTTAGCGAACCTGTGGTAAAATGTAAGACGATGCGAAATGTAACACGTACATACATTTATCTTGGCTTTCTTAGAAAAAGTGTGTGATATTATTATCTCCACCATCTTACCCCTATTTCCCATAGGAACTGAACGTTTCCGCTAGAAAAATCTTTTTACATACCTACATACACATCTACACGTTGCACGCATACATCTAGATTGTACATCTCGCTCAGTATCGCAACATACAGATTACAGACAAGATTTTGTTTTGCAAAAATACATAAAATGATACAAATAAATATAGGTACGTGGGTCTTTCTGCACAATTTGCATATTACTATTAAGGTTACTATAGAGAACTTTTTTGACATTAAATAATTGTACACGGAAAATTTAATTTAATCCTAAAACGAGTTGCGAGTTTGCTTTACGTTGAGGCGATCGACAACTTATGACGTTTAGCGTTCTGATTGGCCCTCATCAAGTCAAGCAACCAATCAGAGGACAACGCGGTAACGTTTCGATGGCGTAAACCTAAAGCAAACTCACGCTAGACCCTGTGACAAACACTGGTATTTTTGTTGCAACGTAGATATTTATACGACAAAAAAAATTGTCAAAGAAATTCTTTATCTTTCATTATGTCTCTTTAATCAAAATTTACTGCATACCAATACTTTACATAAATAATATTGAATTCATAATTAATTTACTTTGGATGGTAATTAAAACTTGAAACTGTTTGTGAAGATGCTTTAAAACTTTTGACAAATCAATTTGAATTTTCTGAGAGGTATTGGACAATGTTGACACAAAAACTTAATCGACATTAAGTCGATATTACTTAAGCAACGAGAACTGAACTGGTAAACAACATTGAGATTTAAATGTTAAGTAATTGAGGACGATTTCCTCATCTAAATAATGAATTTCTCTCAAGAAGCTGCTGAAGTTTTCGTAACATTTTCTCGCTCTTGGCCTTGACATTGAGCAGATGATATCTAACAGTTTACCTAAATAAATGGGTTAATAAATAGCATCAATATTGTTTAGCGGAGCCCTTCGCGGCACCGAAAAATGTATTTGGATGTCATCCAAATATCAGAGGCAAACAATTCGTTTATAATGATACATTTTATAGCAGTCTGTGGACTTGATTCCGTGTCTAGTAAATTATATAGTTTACATTGTTTGTTGGTAGTTCAACGTGCGGCTTAATACTATTATAACACAAACGGCAATTCGAGGTCAAATGAAGAAACGTAAAATGCCATTTTATCCGTAAGCCCTGGTAGAACGACCTCAGCTGTAGTCGTTTTGGTCCAGCAGACAATAAAGTGAATTAGGAATACCAATTGCCATCTCATGACTGTTCAACAGCCTGTCTCGCTCTGTTATGATTAAATTTCACGCCTTTTTCTGGAGTAGTTAAACATATTTAATCGGTTTTCATTTGTTTCTTTGATGTCATTTGAAGTTATAAAAAAAACTTAAGAGAAAATGGCAACAATCACATTAATTTCAAAATAAAAATCAATTTATAGACTCATTATGAAATTAACAATATGTTGACAAGAGAAGTTTTTACATTTTTGTTTGTTTTAGAAAACCGTGTCTCAATGGTCTGTCCCAATTAAGACTTGTAAGTAATGTTCGTAACATATTCTAATTTTTTACTTACGTCAAAGAAGTCAAAGAAACAGAGAAAGAAAGAAAAATAAATTTGTTTCATCGGTAAATAATAATATAAAGCGATGGTAATATTATAATACCAACCTAATGGTCGTACGTTATGATCGCTAGAGTCTTTAAAAAAAGAGCCTTATGTTCTCAATTTTTGGAACTAATTTCGGTTAAATTTGTATCCAGTTGAACAGACAAGTAGTTGAAATAACACAGTTTGGTATTGTTTCAACAAATTTCAATAGTTCTCGACCGTCACAGTTTATAGTT